TGGCCAAAGGGATAAGTCGTAGCCATCAAGCTTGACTGCGTGTCACCGGCCTTTGACCAGCTCCCAGTAGGTAGTCAGGGAAAGACAGGTTCGCGGCCGCATAGTCTCGGCCAACACCAATCAGATCTATATATATATGTATATACATGAAAAAGGTCTGGCCAATTTTGCACTTTCTAAGATTGAAAAACTCTAAAACTGATAAAGGTCTAACTTGTAAGGGTTCCGCGAAACCTGAAAGACCAAATTTCGAGAATTCTAGAATTGTAGAATTTCTTCTAAGAATTTTACAAGTTCAGAAAATTCTAGAGTTCCATTTCTTCAAAGGCCGAATTTCCGAATTGCAAAAAAATCTGAAATTACAAAATTTGAAATTCCAAATTTTAAGGTGTTCCGGGAGACCTGAAAGACCTATTTCCAAAATTCTCACATTTGTAAGGCCGAAATTTTCGAAGTTAAGATAAGATTTTTGCAAATTAGAAATTCGAAGAATGTTAAATTTTGAGGGGTCCCGGGAAACCTGAAAGACCGAATTTCTAAGATTTTAGACTTCTAGAAAAGTTAAAGGCCGAAATTGTAGAGTTTTAGAATTTGGAAAATTGGATTTCTGCCTTAAAGTAATTGCAATTCTAGAGTTTCCAACTACTACCTACACACAGATGGTGTTCGACAGGGCATCACCCCGTAGACCCTAAAGGTCCTACACACACACACATATATATATATATATGTGTAGAACTATATAGCTATCTATATTTATCTATTTCTTCAACTTTCTGCTCCGAGGCTCAACATCGTGGATCATCTGCGTATCGTCCTGGCAGCCATCCCCTTCATCTCGCAGGCCTGCTTCCCTAAACCTTGAGGACCAAGTATGAACCCTAAACGGGTTTAGGGTTTAGGGTTTATGGTTCATGTACCTTAGTAGGAATTACAGTAGTATAGGGAATCTGACCCCAATTTTAGGGTTCATTTTGGTCCCTCCCTAAACCCCTCCAAGAGCTGTCAACCCTAGAAGCCATAGTTCAAACCCGCCCCCCTTCTTAGGCCCTCCAAGCCCCTACCAAGCCCTAATCCCCCCCCTTTCGGCCCCCTAAACCACTACTATGCACCTCACAAGCCCCGATGAAAGCCCTAAACCGGACATGTTTTGTGCGGGGTTCTTGGCAGCTGCAGCCTTGCGCACGTTGCAGCAAAGGACAGCAAACAGAAGGCCGTCGACAGCTTCGCTGCCACCGACCTGGAGCCGTACATTCCGCCTACTCATGTGATAGGCGCGGCCTCCCATGGCTTCTGATCTACGAAGCCAGAGCAAACTTATGATCCGGTGATCTCGTGACTCTTCGAGTATAGCCTCGACGCTTCTATTGCTGAGGTTCAGCACCCTTTGCAGTTTGCCAGAGGATCGCCTTCACAACGAACCGTAAACCCTCAACCTAAACCCGAAACCCTAAACCACTAACAGACGCCTGCTGGTCAGGTTCCCTGCCGCTGGCTTCGGGTTGGACGGACTACGGGGGTGGCTGCCCTTCCCGCAGGTAGTCACCCGAAACCCTAAACCCTAAGCCCTAAGCCCTGAACTATACCAAGCGCTCCCCCTCTCCGACCTGCAAGGACAGGGATTTCGAGCTAGAAGCAAGATATCAGAAACAACCAAGACAACATCAACAGCTGCTAAACAAAAACACACACACACACACACACACACATGCGCCTGTGTGCGCGCGTGCATACACACGCACACGCGCACATGCGCGCGCGCGCGCACGCGCGCTCGCACACGCACATGCAAACCTGCACCTGCACCCGCACCCTCGCACGCACACGAACACGCACACGCGGCGCCACATGTATATATGTGCATATAGTAGTAGATGTACTTACTTGGTACACATAGATGCTTACATAGAAATGCTGGGCTCTTTGTTGGAGACGGCGACACAGGTATCTCGAAGAGATCGGTTCTCAAGGTTGTCATACGCAGGCGGCCATGATTTTTGCCCCAAAGCTCGCTGCAGAGGGATGGCCTCGATCAGCGTTTAGCGTTTAGGGTTTAGGGTTTAGGGTTCAGGGTTCAGGGTTCAGGGTTCCCTAATGAGTACTTGGTCCCCAAATACTCGGATTCCCTTCTAATGTGGACCCCCAGAAGGTGCCCCCCACGCCCCTAATTTCGGAAACCCCCTGACATCAGACCCGAAGACTATGAAGAAGCGGGTGGCGCCAAAGCTGGCCAGCCAGCCTTGCTAACCCCTAAACCCTATAAACCCTAAACCCTAAACCCTAAACCCTAAACCCTAAACCCAGCCTTGCAGCTCAGGCTACTCCAGCCCGACGTACATTCTGGCCAATGGCATCTGCAGCGTGCAGGCCTTGGCACCCGCCTCAGAGCCCGAGAGACAGAGTCCTTTATGTAGGTCCCAGCAGTGGACGGGGTTTAGGGTTTAGGGGTGAAAGGCCCGCGAAAAGTTTTTGGTTGGGCTCCTGAGTCAATCCTCAACGCCATGCTCCCCCCCTACCCCCCCGCCCCCCTTCTGCCCATCTAAGCCCGTGGAATTTTTCGGCGGCTCACGCGAAATCCAAGAACGACGAACCACTATTCCCAGGAAAAAACTTTGGGCAAGTCTGGGTTCCCAGAGGGTGGATCCAAGCTTGGCCGCCAAAACTTCTGCGGAATCTTCATTCCTGGTTTCGGCATGTATTTCGGACCTAGGCCGTGGAAGCAAGATTGGCTGGTTCTTAGTGGGGAATGAGGGAATGGGGTACCTTACATAATCCTTCAAAGGGTACATATAGCGCCCGCATTCCCTGATTCCCTACTAATAAGAAGCAGGGGGAAGATTGGCACCAACTTCTTTCTGGCGGTCTTGGTTCTTGAGTTCTCGGGTCCCGCGGTGCTATTTTGAACCGACCGCCTTTTAAACTGAAAACGGAGGGTCAGATGGCTTATGGGTTTAGGGTTTAGGGGTTCAGGGTTTCTGGGGTTTAGGGTTTCTAGTGTTTCGGGTTTTCGGTTTCAGGTTCAGGGGTTTATGGTTTCGGGTTTGTTAGGTGAGCTGAAGCAGCTTTAACCGGCAACTCTTTGCTTCGATTGATGACGTCTCAAGTGAAAGTGCCCCCCCCCCCCCCCGACATTCAGAAGCGAGATTGGCAAACAGCCCTACACCCTAAACTACACCTAAACCCTAAACTAGCGAGCTATGTAGTGCTCATCTGCACTTCGGCGTCACTTCAGACGTTACCGGATCTCTCGCATGATGCTTCGAAGCACCTTGGAGACGAAACGAACCATTGGGGTCATATACACTGACGAAAGAGTATAATTTCTTTAGTCCCAAGGTAGAGCCTGTAGTATCGTCCCGACAGGGCCCGCGCCCTTGAGGGAGCCAATGGAAGGAAGCGCGCTCGCACCCGCCTTGAGGAAAGGGGCTCCTTTCTGGCATCGCTTGTGGCAGCTCCTGCGTAGAGCCAGGGCTCTCGGCCCAGTTCCTTGGGGACCAAATGAACCCTAAAATTGGGATCATCTACCCCATACTCTTATCATCTACCCTATACTCTTATGATTCCTGTTAAGGTATATGAACCATAAACCCTTTTAGGGCTCACTTAGCCCCCAAGGTTGGTGGCCTGGCATGCACCTTCCTGGTAGCTGCTCTCCTGGGGGTCTCGCGCCTGCTAAGCCGCCAGCTGCTAGCAACCGTAGCTAAGTTATCCAAGTCGGGCATCGCTGATCCCCTCTTCGGCGGCTCTCTAGGGGTCGTCTACACGCACACGCGTCTCGCAGAGTCGTGGGAAGATTTCCTGGACGCGTTCAAGTTCCCCAAGGGCTCGCCCATCCGTCAGCACATCCGGCAGCTCTTCTCGCGTGAAGACCTGGACGCACAGCTTCAGGGGCTCTTCGACGTCCTGTGCAGAGCCTTGGGAACTAGATGAACCCTAAATGGGTTTATGGCTGACATACCTTAATAGGAATTATAGTAGTATGGGGTATATGACCCCAATCTTAGGGTTCCTCTCGTCCCCAAGGAGGACCAGCGCTGACCCGCACCCAGTTTGAACGCTTCAGCCGTGGTATCCAGGGCCATGTGCACATCTTGACGGACAAGAAGACGAAGATTGCCCTGTTGCAGCCGACTCCGGAGGACCTCGCGTGGATTGCAAAGAACTTCGACACAGCCTTCCCGGCGGAACGTCCACTGAGCCGCGAGAACCTTGAGAAATAAGCCCTAAAAAATTGGGGGTCATTTCCCCTGACTACTATATATTCCTATCAAGGTACTATGAAGCCCTTTCAGGGTTCATATAATTCCTATTAAATAGATTAAAACCCTTTTAGGGTTCATACTTCGTCCCCCAAGGAACTTCCCCGATGTCGCCAAGCTGGTGCTCCTGCGGCGCGTGGTCCGCACACTCATCGAGTTCGTTCCTTGGAGACTATGGAAATGAATCCTGTATAGCCCCTACCTGGGGATCTATTTACCTACAGTTTAGTAGTAGCTCCGCTGAAGTAGGAGGTATAACCCATGAAGCTGTAAACCCTAAAGGGGTATTTATGGTCCTCTACGCCTCAACACACACACTCCACAGGGACTCCAGAGTAGTACTCAAGGCATTTTTGCTTCCAACCTCTTTAAGGTTTTCAGGTCGTACCCCTTGCGACTCGCACCTCAGAGGGATTGTCGAGTAGAATTCAAGGCATGTTTGATCCCTCAACCCTAAACCCTAAACCCTAAACCCTAAACCCTAAATAAACCCTAAACCCTAAACCCTAAACCCTAAACCCTAAACCCTAAACCCTAAACCCTAAACCCTAAACCGAACCCTAAACCTTAAACCCTAAACCCTAAACCTAAACCCTAAACCCTAAACCAAAAAAACCTAAACCCGAAACCCTAAACCCTAAACCCTAAACCCTAAACCCTAAACCCTAAACCCTAGCCCTAAACCCTAAACCCTGGATTTGCTCTCCCCCCAAGGTTGGCATCGACCACATCCAGGATGGCATGGCCGCCCCGCTGGTGGTCGACATCGCCGTGGACCTCGGAGGGCCGCCCTTCCGTCTCCACACCGTGCCTTGGGTTTAGGGTTTAGGGTTTAGGGTTTAGGGTTTGGGGTTTAGGGTTTGGGGTTTAGGGTTTAGGGTTTAGGGTTTAGGGTTTGGGGTTTAGGGTTTGGGGTTTGGGGTTTGGGGTTCGGGGTAGGGTTTAGGGTTTAGGGTTTAAGGTTTCCGGTTTAGGGTTTGGGGTTTAGGGTTTTTAGGGTTTAGGCTTTAGGCTTTAGGCTTTAGGGTTTGGGGTTTGGGGTTCGGGGTAGGGTTTAGGGTTTAGGGTTTAGGGTTTCCGGTTTAGGGTTTGGGGTTTAGGTTTCAATTGGGTTGGGGACTTCTCTATTGAACCCTAAACTTGGGTTTAGGCTTTGGGGTAGTCGTAACCGCTGTTAAGGTATATGGACCATAAACCCTATATTAGTATCACCCCCATTCAAGTACGCGACCCACAAACCTACCCTACATGGACCACCAGCCTACTATAACTGCTATTAAGGTATACTTATGGACCATAAATACCCTTTGAATACCCCGCACTGGTATAAGCCCCCTAGTAACTAAGGTACATGGACCACCATAAGATACCCTTTGAGGGTTCCAGACTCCCCACACCCTAAACCCTAAACCCTAAACCCTAAACCCTAAACCCTAAACCCGAAACCCTAAACCCTAAACCCTAAACCCAAGGTGGCACCCAGCTCGAAGCCCACCCTGGAGAGTGGGGAGAGGCTCGACGCCATCCTCGAGTGAAAAATGACGGGCGCGTGTTTTAGGGTATAGGGTTCAGGGTTTAGGGTTTAGGGTTTTGGGTTTTGGGTTTAGGGTTTAGGGTTTAGGGCCCAAATCGGAGCAAAAAACTTGCACCCTATTACGAACCCCACAAACCCTGGACCGGAACCCGCATCCAGGGCCGGTGTGTTCGCCGCGTGTTCTTGTGCAGTGCTTGGTAGCCAGCCAAACCCATGTGATCCCCACCTTCCGAATGCCAATCTCTTGGCCTCTTGCAAAGCCTTGTTCATTTTTTGTAAGGTTCAGGGTTTAGGGTTTAGGGTTTAGGGTTTAGGGTTTAGGGTTTTCGGGGTTTAGGGTGCGTCTTTGTTGGGGGTCTAGCCGAAAGCCCAGAAGTCCCCCCAAAGCCTGCTGAGGTGAGCGGCCCCGACCGTGGCCAGATTGTGGCTCGGCAGCGTCTGCTTACATCGGGACCACATGAACCCTAAAATTTGGGGGTTTAGGGTTTAGGGTTGAGGGTTTTAGGGTTTAGGGAATTGAGGGTTTAGGGTTTAGGGCTTGGGGGTCATATACCCTAGACTACTATAACCCATACTAAGGGCTTGTACGGGTGCATAGGGTGGGTACTTCTCATACTATCCAATCCCTATCAAGGCGTATGGACCATACGACCTTTTTAGGGCTTCATGTAGTCCCCAAGTTTACAGCGCCCATTGCTGTTACCCGAGGGGAGCGCAACACCCTGAACCCTAAAAGCTCCAAGCCCTAAACCCTAAACACTAAAAGCCCTAAACCCTAAACCCTCAACACCCTAAACCCTAAAACAGCTACCAAGAAGGCGCGTGAGACCCCGATTCCATGACCTTAAGCCCTAACCCCTAGCAACCCCTATTAAGCCCCATTAAGCTCTATTAAGCCCTATTAAGCTCTACTCTGCCCCATTAAGCTCTGTTGAGGCCTAATCAGCTCTATTCGGCCCTATTAAGCTCTATTAAGGCCTATTGTTCAGCCCTCTTTTGCTCTACCCAGCCCTATAAAGCCTTTCAAACCCGTTCACCCTGCTAAAGCTATTACAAGTAAACCTGATGAAGACCAATCAAAGCCTCTCCAGCCCCATTAAAACTCATGTAAACGCTCTTAAGTGCTGTAAGCCCGAAACCCTTAGGCTCGCCAGCTGAGGCGACCTTGCCAGAGGAGTGCCGCCCCAGCGGCGGCCGGCTCATCTTCAACGTGCCCCTGTGCTCGGCAAATTCAGAGAGCGACAGAGAAAGAGATAGAGAGAGAGAGAGAGTTAAGTTGGAACTGCAAGATTTCCATAGATTTTTAAAGGTGTTTATGGGCGTTGGGGTTTCTGGGGCTTGGTTTTGGGTTCTTGAGTTTGGTTTATAGAGGCTTTGGGGGCTTTTGGGGCTTCTTGCTTGTTTCTGTTTACAACCCACCAGGGATTCTTTAAAGGTGTTCTAGGAAGCTGCGGGGAGATGGTATAGCCGCCAAGGCAGAGTCACTTGATCTTCGCTTAGACTTGGATGGGCCTTCCCCTTGAAATATTCAAGATGCCCCTTGTAAGGGCATACCCCCGAACAGGGGGTATGGCAGAAATTCTCCCTCAAAGGAACCATGATGGTTTAGGGGTGTGGCGAAGGCATGTTGAGTTATTCTTAAACGAAATCTGCCTCTTTCCGTCTCTCTCTCTCTCTCTGTCTCTGTCTCTGTCTCTGTCTCTGTCTCTGTCTCTGTCTCTGTCTCTGTCTCTGTCTCTGTCTCTCTCTGGGCATACAAAACACTTCTCCCCGACCATCGAGGACTTCTACCATCAGCCATTGAATTCAAGGTGTAATTTTGGGGTCGGACTCAGTACAAATGGTATTCCCTTATGGTCCCTTCATAATTGTACTATAAGAACCCCCCCCCCCCCCCCCCCCCAAAAAATAAAAAAAACCTATTCCAATCATTAAGGCCCCCCAAAACCCTATTCTTATGCCCTTATGCTCCCTTGATACCTATACTATAAGAACCCCCCCCCCCCACCCCCCCAAAAAAAAATAGAAAAGAAAAAACTCCCCCGGTATGAAGTCCCAGACGCGGCTCCCAGGAATCGCGGAGGATCCGTCGCTCGGGTGGACGTGGATCACGAGGGCGGCCTGATTTGGTGGAGAGGCTCTACACTGCTGGGCTGCTGTGTGGGATCTGAAGACGAGATCGAATTCTGGGGTTTAGGGTTTAGGGGTTAGGGGTTTAGGGTTTAGGATTTAGGGTTTAGGGTTGAGGGTTTAGGGTTTTTGTTGGTTTCTGTTTGGTAGAAGAATCCTAAAAAGGGTTTGATACCCTTACCTACCAACAGAATTGTTGGTGTTGGGTTCTTAAGGTCTTTGTTTGCGGTCCCAGCCCAGATTACTTTAGAGACTGTTTCTCCGCTGTAGAGACCGCTGAGCGGGGTCTAAGTTTTAGGGTTTAGGGCTTAGGGTTTAGGGTTTGGGGTTTAGGGTTTAGGGTTTAGGGCTAGGGTTTAGGGCTCGGGTTTAGGGCTAGGGTTTAGGGCTTGGGGTTTCGGCTCCAAGCACCAGGCGGCTCTGGCTCCTCCTGGCTCAGCCTCGCGGGCATCATCTTTGCCCCTCAAGGCGGCTGGCCGATACCGCAGCTCTGCTGAATATTCTTAGTAGTAGAGCAGGTAACCCTAAACCCTAAACCCTAAACCCTAAACCGGTAACCTTTAACCTTTTTTGGGGGAATAGAATTCCCTGATAATCCCAGAGGTTAGCCTTGAGTTCCCCTAGGTACTGGAACAACTGAGTGTTCGAACTTGGTGTTACAGGGTTCTTAAGGGAGGGGGGTTCCGAAGTGCAGGGTGCTTCGGGTTTAGGGACTAGGGTTTAGGGTTGGCCCGCGTCTCTTCAAGTTTTGTGACACCCTCATACGAAGTGGTAGGGTTTGTTCATGGAAGCCTAGGGAGCCTTAGGGAGGATTGGGGAGTATTAGGGAACCTTGGGTTGCATACCAGCCAAGAAGGGGTGCCCTTACCTTAGGAAAAGCCCACATTACAGTACGTGTCATTTTTATCTTCAGAGATGCTACATTTTGTAAATGTGGGTAGTTCTCTAAATTAGCGTCCCTTTTTGGGTCCCCCTTTGTAGAGGGTGCCGCCTTATAATGGCTGACCTAAAAAGGGACCATAAGTTTAGGGAACTACCCGTATATTCGTATATTGAATGGGCGAATAGGCCTTAGAATCCTCATAATGAACCCCACAAAGGGCCATTTTAAGGGGTTACAGGGGATAACCGCCATTCCTGGTCAAGACTACTCATGTTGATATTGCTTCGCAATGATATTATAGTCCCCCGTCAGTTCCCCAGGATACTTGCTAGATATGAATTAACGTCTTGAACATCATCAATACTTTGACATTGTTCATTTTGACAATTCGAATACTCTTGGGAATGATATTCATACTTCTTACGAAGAATGTTGTTGTAATATGTTTTGAAGATTATGCAGATGATGAATAGTAGAGTCCGCTGGCACTTCTTTGCCCTTTTGATCTTTTTTTGATGCGTCTCTTACGTATTGTTTGGCTTCTTCCGGGTCACAACTAGCAAACCTGCGAGCATACCAAGAGAACTGTATTCAGTTGTTGTTTCTGTGCTTTGCAATATTCTCCATAACAGAAAATGCTCATTGTATTGTTCAATGATTCTATTTATAACCCTAAACCCTAAACCCTAAACCCTAAACCCTAAACCCTAAACCCTATTCACTGGGCCCTTCACGGCACAAGCCCTCCAGAAAAGCTTGCCGAGGAGAGTTCTCCAGGCGGCCAAGGCTAAACCCGAACCCCCACCCTAAGTCCCTGAATCCCTAAACCCTACACCCCTATCCCCTAAACCCTAAACCCTAAACCCTAAACCCTAAACCCTAAACCCTAAACCCTTGGGTTCTTAAGGCTTAGGAAGTTCGCTCCCAGGCTCGACAACGGCTGGCAGAACTACGGGGATGGCGGCGGCCCAAGGATCCGAACAGCGTTTAGGGTTTAGGGTTTAGGGTTTGGGGTTTGGGGTTTGGGGTTTAGGGTTTAGGGTTTGGGGTTTGGGGTTTGGGGTTTGGGGGTTTGGGGTTTGGGGTCTAGGGTTCAGGGTTTGTAGGGTTTATCGTGTTTTTCGTGTTTGTGTTTGTGGGGTTGATAAGGTTTGTAGGGTTGATGGGCTTTATAGAAGCAGTTTAGGGTTTGGGGTTCAGGGTTGTGTTAGCGCTGTGGTTGCTCTTGCAGGATAAGCCATGATAGCTTTTGAGGCCATTGGATTCTAAAGCTGGCTCTGAGAGGTGCATGCCAAGGGCTAGCTGAAACCAGCACCCAGCCAGCTGAGTATGAAGCTCCCCCCCCCCCCAACCCTAAACCCTAAACCCTAAACCCTAAACCTCAGCCCAGGCTATGCCCCTGCGACGTACCGAGCCGTTGGCGGCCTCTGCCTTCTCAGCGGCCTCGTCACAGACCCTTGGCTCGAAACCCAAAGAAATCCGGGGGTTTAGGGTTTAGGGTTTTAGGATTTAGGGTTAAGGGTTTAAGGTTAGGGTTTAGGGTTTAGGGTTTAGGGGTTTAGGGGTTTAGAGTTTAGGGGTTTGTAAGGTCTAGGGCACCCACGCAGCCTGTTATACATCCCTTTCTGCAAACTTTCTCTATTGGCCTGCTTAAAGACGATGGTTCTGTGAGTTGTAGGTTCGGTGTGCTCTCTAGAGGCTCTCCTCCTTCGGTCTGTGCACTAAGTATATGATGAAACGCTTTTGGGGTTTAGGGTTTAGGGCTTAGGGTTTAGGGCTTCTAGGCTTTATAGGCTTTAGAGGCTTTATAGGCTTTATAGGCTTTATAGGCTTTATAGGCCGTACAGGCTTTACAGGGTTTATAGGATTTTTAGGGGTCATAGGACTTACAGGGTCTATAGGCTCTATAGGCTTTATAGGCTTTATAGGGTGTGCAGGGTTCAGGGGGTTTATGGGGCTTATAGGGTTTAGGGTTTAGGGTTTAGGGCTTAGGGCTTAGGGTTTAGGGCCGCTTTTTCAGGGTGGCTCCTGGGGACGATTCGGCTATCTCCCTGAAGAATGCCGCCCGCAGAAGCGCCTGACGCTCGGCAGCAGGTTTTGCACAAGGGAGAGACTCCTGAAGCCTTAAACCCTAAATACCCTAAACCCTAAACCCTAAGACGTAACCCTAAACCCCAAACCCCAAACCCCAAACCCTAAACCCTAAACCCGAAACCCTAAACCTAAACCCTAAACCCTACCAACCAGCCCTAAACCCAAAATGAGTCAAAGCCCAGGGTCTTCAACGTGAACAATGAGGCCGGGAGTTGTCCCAAGAGTCGACACTGGTGGTGGTCAAAAGGGGGGTGGAGGGGAGGGAGTGTAGGGTTTAGGGTTTAGGGTTTAGGGCTTAGGGTTTTTCACAAAAGAAGTGGATTAGGGATTGCTCTTGGTTTTGGGGCGGGGGCGCAAAGGGGACCCTTGCACTGCATAAGTTGGGGTGTTCAGGGGTGCCCTTGTATTTTGGGCAAAGCCCTCCCCCCCCCCCCCCCCCCCCGCCCTGCCTACCCAAACCCCAAACCCCAAACCCCAAACCCCAAACCCCAAACCCCAAACCCCAAACCCCAAACCCCAAACCCCAAACCCCAAACCCCAAACCCCAAACCCCAAACCCCAAACCCCAAACCCCAAACCCTAAACCCTAAACCCTAAACCCTAAACCCCTCCCCCCCCCACCCCCCCGCCCCCTCAAAAAAATAAACAAAACTGAAGAACGGAAAACAACAACTCCTTTCAGGATGCCGTGATGCGCGTGGATGTCCAGACGGATGGCTGGGTCGGGTGGGTGGGCGGCAGCACATACCACCATTTCGCCAGTCCGGAGCATAGAGCCGACTGCAGACCTGCTGTGGGCTAAGGGTTCACGGTTTAGGGTTGAGGGTTGAGGGTTGAGGGTTGAGGGTTTAGGGTTTAGGGTTGAGTGTTTAGGGTTTAGGGTTTAGGGTTTAGGGTTTAGGGTTTAGAGGGGTCAAGGGGCTTAGAAGTTATGTATGGTGAGTTCTCTAAGTTAGGGCCCCTTTTTTGGGTACCCTAACTATGAGGGGCCGCTATGTAACAAGGACTCCAAAAGGGACAATATTTTAGGGTTTACTTTTAAGGGATGCTTGATCCTGAAGATGCTCCACTCCCTGCTCCTAAGAGGCCAGACTGGATGCCTAACAAAACCAAGCGCCAAACTCCAAACCCTAGGCCCGAAACCCTAAACCCCAAACCCTAAACCTCATACCCTAAACCCCAAACCCTAAACCCCAAACCCTAAACCCCAAACCCTAAACCCGAAACCCTAAACCCCACACCCTAAACCTCAAACCTAGTTCTTCTGCTTTTCCTTGGAGGCAAGCTGCTGCGGTCGTGTTTGCCCCTGATAGTTGCACAGCACCGGTACGAAGACGTGAACAAAAGCTGGTTTTTATGGGGCCCGATGATTCTTTTATAACAATATATATATATATATGTATATATGTATATGTATATGTATATATATATATGTATATATAGAGGGCCCTAATTTCGGAAATCACCATGTCGCGCGCGCCATCCAGAGGTCTGAGCGGCATCGCCTTCTCCCTCGACCCAGAGCAGACCTTCCCACTGGCGCTAGGCGCCGGAGGTTTAAGTGGGGGGATGCAGGCTTTTCACCCCCTAACCCTACAACCAGAAACCATAAAACCCTAAAAAGCCCTAAAAACCTTAAAGAACCCAAAGAACCCAAAAACCCAAAACCCTGTGAAGTCTGGGGTCCGGGCGCTGCTTCCGGATTTCGTTCCGTGTGTTGTGGGGTTTGGTGGGGTGCTTCGTATTTGGGATTTCGGCGTGGGAGGTGGAAGGTGCCCTGCGAATTGTGGGGTTTTTGGAAGCGTTGTTTTAGTAGGCGGGTTGAGAAATGGGGTGAAAGCGTACGGGGAAGGGGGGGGGGGGGGGAGGGGAGCATTGAGTGTGAGGTCTGAGGTTCAGCCTCTTGCTTGCTCCTATAAGGCCAGAAGGTGTAGCCCTAAACCCTAAACCCTAAACCCTAAACCCTAAACCCTAAACCCTAAACCCTAAACCCTAAACCCTAAACCCTAAACCCTAAACCCTGTGTAGCAACTTGGGGGCTTGAAAATTGAAGAGAGAAGTGCCTCTCTCTTTCGCAGTGCGCATGCCGGGAGTCTTCTGTAGGGCAAGTTGCTGGCCCTTGCAACCCTAAACCCTAACACCCTAACACCCTAACACCCTAACACCCTAACACCCTAACACCCTAACACCCTAAACCCTAAAGCCTAAACCCTAAAACCCTAAACCCTAAACCCTAAACCCTTCGCAGGTCCCAATGCTTACGACTATGGTGGCCCCTATTCATCACCGACCTACAGCTTGATCGACGGCCTCTGTGGCTTGGCGGGCAGTGTCAAATTCCTATAGTCGTTTTTTTGTGCAGTTATGGGGTTTGGGGTTTAGGATTTAGGGTTTAGGGTTTAGGGTTTAGGGTTTAGGGTTTAGGGTTTAGGGCTTAGAGTTAGTTAGGGTTCAATACAGCCCCCACCCTAGAACAGTCATATGCAGGATCTTACCGTGTTGCAGGGGACTCTCATAGGGTGGGGGTTGTATCCAAAGCTAGGGGCCCAAAAGCCGCGTGAGCAAAAGGATGGCGTTTAGGGTTTAGGGTTTAGGCTCCTATGCAGGTTTTTGCATAGGGACCTAGAAGAAAGCACAAACCCTGAAAGGGAAATCAATTTGGTACTGCAATAGCATGGGTCATTCGCCCTCTGAGCCCTATACACCCTACCTTGGGGAGCAAATGAACCCTAACGGGTCTAGGGTTCATACACCTTTGTCAAGAATTTATAGCTAAAGTAGTGTAGGGCATTACACCCCAATTGTTGAGTTCATTTGGTCCCCGGGGTAAAAACCGTAAAGCCCGAGCAACAGCATATAGGGCCATCATGTCAGTCCGGACAACTCCCTGCAGCCCGCTGCAGAGCGCTTTCCAGACATAAGGGTTTAGGGTCTAGGGTTTAGGGTTTAGGGTTTAGGGTTTAGGGTTTAGGGTTTAGGGCTCCCATATCTGAGAGCTTTTCCCAGTAGATGCTGAGGTGTTCTCGAAGCTCTGATCAGCTACTCGAGCACGACGGTGCTTGCCTACTTGCCAGTGGAATGCTGGCCCATGCGAGAGTTATCGTCACTTGGATGCTTCCCAAAAAAATCAGCTCAGATCTGCTGTGCCTGTGAGGAGCCTAGAGCAGAGGGACTGACATGATGTGCTTCCGTAGACTTCTAGTAATAGACTCCCAAAACTGTAGCTTCAAGCCCCGTCGCCCTGTTCACGCCCTGTACAAATGACTTGAGAACTCTGGCCTTGTGAAGGAGATGAAGTCCTAAGTTGGTCCTAGCACGACAGTTTTTCCCGCCTTGGCCCCCCCCCGGAGGTTCTCTATGAATCAGCAGGAGTCGGCGCCGCGTGTGCAGGCACCTTTGGACCTGTTCAACCGTCAAAGCGGATCATTGGGCAATGCAGTCAGTAGCAGGAGGTCTGCCCGAAGTTGCCCGCAGTGCTGAGTGCTTGAAGAGATCAGGGTGAGTTGCGGATCCATTCGGGTGAGGGAAGGACCCCTAAACCCTAAACCCTAGATCCTAAACAATAAAACCCTAAACCCTAAACCCTAAACCCCCCCTCCCCCTCCCCCCCCCTCCCCCTCCCCCCTCCCCCTCCCCTCCCCCCCCCCTCCCCCTCCCCTCCCCCTCCCCCCCCTCCCCCTCCCCCTCCCCCTCCCCCTCCCCCCCAAACACAGCCCAAGCCAAGGTGTATGCAAATGGAGAAGTTAAGCTGCTGGCTGGAGGCCCATGGAGCCATCCAGTGATCCTGCGCAGCTTCAGCTGTTGGACTGTGCGCGACATGTTGGTTGTCCTAGGTCTAGGGTTCAGGGTTTAGGGTTTAGCGTTTAGGGTTTAGGGTTTAGGGTTTAGAGTTTAGGGTTTAGGGTGTAGGCCTAGCGAGGTCGAGGTAGAATTGATAAGGTGCCGGCTGGAGCCATGTAGCATGGTTGAACGGCATGCCTGCAGCCGCTGTGCCCACGAAGAACTTAGAGCCCATGTGGTGCTCAGCCTTCCTTGGATGTGGTCCAGGGAGCTGTCGTCCAAGCTGTGGTCCAAGCTGTCGAAAATATGAGAATCCCGACGACTCCGAGACGATCAGTGTGCCGACGACCTTGAAGGTCCTGGAAGATCTTCCTGCCGGCCGGGGTCTGGGGGATGCGGAATTCTGGGCTGAGCTGGAGGGAATGTGGTATCGGGAGCGCGACAACCTGTGCATCGGCGAGATCTGCGGGGACTGCTTGGTGTGGGATGTTCAGTGCCTTGGGGACGAATTATGAGCCCTAAACTTGGGGGCCATATACGCTATACTACTATAACTCCTATTGAGGTAATATGAACCCTAAACCCTAAACGCTAAGCCCTAAACCCTAAACCTTAAACCCTAAACCCTAAACTTAAGGTATATGAGCCCTTAAAACCCTTTTAGGGTTCACAACTCGTCCCCAAGGTGGAAGATGCCGGGTGATGTGAGCTATCTGCAGGCTGCCTCGGAAGACTGCATCTCCTTCGAACTGAAGAGTCCTTGTCATACTTGGGTAACATGTTACGTTTTTTGAGGGTACTTAAACCCAAAAAAAATGAAGGGAAAGTTCAAAGCCTAAACCCTTTTAAAGCCTAAACCCTAAACCCTAAACCCTGAACCCTAAACCCTAAACCCTAAACCCTAAAACCTAAGCCCTAAGCCCTAAGCCCTAAGCCCTAAACCCTAAACCCTAAACCCTAAACCCAAACCCCTAAACCCTAAACCCTAAACCCTAACCCCCAAACCCTAAACCCTAAACCCTAAGCCCTAAACATCCCTAAACCCTAAACCCTAAACCAATACTATCCCAACCATGAACTAGGAAAGAGGTGGTGCTGGGCAAAGTCCAGCGCCATGCGCAGACCACCATACACTGGAACGACGGCGACGTCTGGTTGAAGAAGTAGGGTTTAGGGTTTAGGGTTTAGGGTTTAGGGTTTAGGGTTCAGGGTTTAGGGTTCAGGGTTCAGGGTTCAGGGTTTAGGGTTTAGGGGTTAGGGTTTAAACCAAAGTATCCCGCCAAAAGCACTATTCTAATTATTCTAGCCCCAAAGTGAGTTCCTTTCCGATAAAGCTTTCCGTGCCACCATTCCGTAATTTAATTGGATTTCCAATAGCCTTGGGGACGAAATGAACCCTAAAATCGGGGTCATACACCCTATACTACTATAATTCCTATTAAGGCTATATGAACCATAAACCCTTTTGGGGTTCATTTCGTCCCCAAGGAGACTCCTAGAGGTCCTAGAGCCACAAATTTCAATTTTTGCTCCACTCACCTGGCGTGCGACTCTTGCCAAGAAGCAGTTCTCAAAGCAGAACCTCTCGACGTCACGGAACGCGGTTGGTGAAAAAAAGAAGACCCTAAACCCTGAACCCTAAACCCTAAACCCTAAATGGGTTCACGAAGTGAGCACTGTAATCTCGTGCCTCGTTAACTTCAATCCCTTCGGGACCACATGAACCCTAAAATTGGGATCATATAACCTTACACTGCTAGAGCCTAAGGCGTATGGACCCTAAACCCTTTTAGGGTTCATTTCGCCCTCACAATAAGGTCTTGGTAATAATTAGAGCAGGAAACCTTTAACCAATCTTGGGGTATTTTACTCCCTACATAGAATCCCAAAGGTCAAGCTTTCATTCCCCCAGCTTCCTGGACAACTAACCCTAAACCCTAAACCCTAAACCCTAAACCCTAAACCCTAAACCCTAAACCCTAAACCCTAAACCCTAAAACCGAAACCCGAAACCCGAAACCCGAAACCGTCAGAATGCAGACCTGAGAGGCGCCGACAGCGGCTGGATCAGCCTCAGTGGCATTGCCTTCGCCCCGGCGCCCGGGGGGCGCCGCAAGCTGCCGTACCAAAATGGCTCCTGGGATGGCGAATTTGGGGGAGGGGGTGGGTGGGGGGGTTAGGGTTTAGGGTTTGGGGTTTAGGGTTTTTAGGGTTTATAGGGTTTAGGGTTTAGGGTTTAGGGGGCTTTTAGCTTTGGGGGACCAGGTGACAGCTAAAAGGGTTATGGTTCTGACACCTTGGCAGGAAGTATATTGTAGTACAGGGTATATGACCAGTTTGGGGGTTGATTCGGTCCCCGGGGTAGAGGGGGTTCAATGGGAGTTGTTTTTCCTTGCTCGACCAGGCGTCCTGATTTGGCGCGTGCTCTGGATTTCCGCAATTTCCCCCCCCCTCATTGAGTCCCCCAGAAACCCAAATTAAACCCGAAACCCTACACCCTACCCGAAAGCTCTCTTTCGGCCAACGACAAGCTGGAAATCATGGCTTCTGATCCTTGTCCCTGTGCGCGTGGCACGCGGTTCCCCAAATTTCCAAGTGCTCTCAGAGTTGGCTGCTGCCCCGCCAGTTTGGGGTTTAGGGTTTCGGGTTTAGGGTTTAGGGTTATTTGTTATTTAGGGTTTAGGGTGCAGCTCTAATCTCTACGCTCGATTGTCCCCAGGCTGGGCGGACTATGGCGCCGACTTCGGCATGGCGACGTTCAGCATGAAGCCTCCCGTCTTCTGATTGTCGTAAGCGTGTAGGGTTGAGGGGTTAGCGGGTAGGGTTTAAGGTTTAGGGTGTAGGGTCAGGTTTAGGGTTTAAGGATGGAGGTTCTAGGGGGGTATGTAATCCAAGGTTCCCTCATGCTCCCCACTACTCCATTAAGCTCCCTGAGCTCCTGTAAGGTTCCCTGCATACCTCCCCCCCCATGAACCCCATACCATGGAGACCAATCATGAACCCTAAAAGGGTTTATGGTTCCTATGACCTCAATGGGACTGATAGTGGTACAGGGTACATGGCCCCAGCTTTAGGGTTCATTTGGTCCCCAAGATAAGGCATAGGCCGAGTGCAGAGACTGTTCTTGCTGGTCCTCAGGGGAATGAGGGAATGAGGTCCCCTAAAAGGCCCTAAACTCTAAAGCTTCATCCCGGGTATTTAGAGGGCCCTATAATTCCCCTCATCCACCCAACCAACAACCCGGGCACGTTCTCTTGCGCTGAGTCTCAGGAACGGCTTCTGCGTTTTGGAGGGTCTGGTTCATGGAGGCCGCGGCAGCCACTATGGTGAAGATCATTTTATCGGGGTTTAGGGTTCAGGGTTTTAGGGTTTAGGGTTTAGGGTTCAGGGTTTTAGGGTTTAGGGTTCTGTCCCACATTCAGCAATGGCAGGCGACTGGAATGGCTGGTTCGCAACGCTTCCAGATGGCTGTCGGCCTACCAAGAGGTTGTGGCCGGGCGAATATAACATAGGGGTTGGAATATTTTCTCATATTATCCCCTTATGGTCCCTTTAGAATTATGCAATATTGTAATATTCCCTTTTGGTCCCCTGGTATTTATACTACAATAACACCCGAAAACCCTATTCTAACTCTTCAGGCCCCTGTAGTATGCGTACTTTTCGGGGCATCCTAGCTGAAGGATGGCACAGCATGCGGTGCTCTACAGGGTAGTAGGGTTTAGGGTTTAGGGTTTCGGGTTTAGGGTTTAGGGTTTAGGCTTTAAGGTTTAGCGGGCAATTTTTTCGGACCGAAGGACCTAGGTACTAAGTACCTTGTATCGGGCAGAGACCGAGGATCTTCCACGCTAACAACCACGCAGGATCCGCCCGCGTGGATGTCAAGACAGGCGAAGGGCATGAAAGCATCTGGGGCTTACTGGATCCATGGAAAAGCCCTAAACCCTAAAACCCTAAACCCTAAATTTTTAAACCCTACACTAAGCTGTTTGACGGTGTGCTCGTTTTAGGATGCTTGACAGCTTTCCGCACAAGCTCACTAAACCCTACTACACCCTACCCCACCCTACACCCTACACACTACACCCTACACCCTACACCCTACACCCGACACCCTACACCCTACACCCTACACCCTACACCCTACACCCTAAACCCTAACCCTAAACCCAACCCTAAACCCTAAACCCTAAACCCTAAACCCCCCTCGTATAATACAAGATGCAAGTGTTGAAGTTGTTGCTTCAAGAGGTTTGCGATCTGGCGCATGCCGTTTTCTATCCTCAAAAGCAGCTGTTGGGCTAGGATGCCCAGTAGTACCCTTATTCCCTTTTTGGGGGGTTTAGGTTCCCTTATAAACCCCTTTAAGCACAAAAGGGCACCCTTTTTCAGCCTAGGTTACTGGGCAGCCTAGTGGGGCAGCCTGAGCCCTGTGTAGGTTTTATAGGTTTTACATAGGGTTCATACAGGGTATATACTTTCTAGGGGTTACAGGGTTTATCGTTTCCAGGGTTTACATAGGGTTGACATAGGGTTTATATGGTTTGCAGGGTTTACATTATTTCTCGGACTTGTGGGTGTAATTCGGTCTATAGAGTTTAGGTGTAGTTCTAAACCCTAAACCCTAAACCCTAAACCCTGTTTCTCTGAGCCCCCGAGACCCTGCAGGTGGCGAAGTGACGTATGTGGATGGCCCCAACAATCATCACTGGATGTCACGTGGCATTGCAAGGAGGTTTAGGGTTTAGGGTTTAGGGTTTAGGGTTTAGGGTTTAGGGTTTAGGGTTAAGGTTTAGGGTTTAGGGTTAAGGAGGTCTACCTAGTAGCTGAGTAGGTAACCTTTAACCAGAAGCACAGGTCGCGCTGTTTAGCCGTTTTGGGGGTATGTATAGTCCTGCCAGAATTGAAAGCTTAACCTTTTTGGCCCAGGGAACTCAGCAACTAGGCCTAGGCAATCTGATCAGGGAGGTTAGGGCCCCTGGGGTCTCAGGTTCGGGCCCTTAAGGTGTTGAAACAGCGGTGGTCTTTGTGCCGTGCAGTGGATCTCAAGTCCGAAGCGAGCAAGGGGATTGATGACGGCAATTCAACACGTACACAGGGTGAACCCTAAACCCTAAACCCGAAACCCTAAACCCTAAACCCTAAACCCTAAACCCTAAACCCTAAACCCTAAACCCTAAACCCTAAACCCTAAACCCTAAACCCTGTGCTGGAATCAAAGGAGTGTCGCTGGAATCATCTTCGCTCCAGACACAGTTGGGCACATCGCGCTGCCCTTGGCAGGCAGCGACCTTGGGGACGGAATCAAGCCTAAACCCTAAACCCTAAAGCCTAAACCCTTGAAGGGTTCATACTTCGTCCCCAAGGTACTCGCAGTTCCCACACCAGAAACCCTCAAGCTTCTCCATAGGCGGCATGGAACCACTTCGTGGGATCGGTCTGCTCTGACGATGGAATCCAACCCTAAACCCTAAACCCTAAACCCTAAACCCTAAACCCTAAGCCCTAAGCCCTAAGCCCTATAAGCCCTATAAGCCCTATAAGCCCTATAAGCCCTAGACCCTAGACCCTAAACCCTGACCCTAAACCCTATAAACCCCCAACACCCTCCAAGGGCCCATATGCCTCGAGAGAGAGAAGGGTCCTTTTGGTCCTTTTGGGAAGCTGCGGAATGCTCCACACAGGCAGCTGGACCGGCTATGGCGAAGCCTACGAATCCCCCGACTACACCGCCGCTTTCATCTGCAGAGCTATGATGTTACTATCATTGTCATGACTTCTTTTTGTATATTCTTATTATGATGATGTTATTGCTAGATTATCGCTATTATTGCCACTATGACCTTATTTCTACAGGTATTGTCATTCGTATGTTTTTTTGTTAATGCGGTTCTTCCTCGCCTAACTTGCTTTGTGACATAGACCCTGACTGCTATGACTCTTTTAGGGTTCATAATTCGTCCCCAAGGTAAAGAACCAGCCAGAAGAGCCCAACCCTAAACCCTAAACCCTAAACCCCCAGGTCAAGAATGGCATCTGCTCCGTGGAAGGACTGATCCGGGGAGGCCGGACATCGAAGAAGGAGTCGCAACAACACCAGCGCAAGCTTCGGGTGCAGACGAGCCCTAAACCCTAAACTAAACCCTAAGCCCTAAACCCCAAACCCTAAACCCTAAACCCTGAACCCTGAACCCTGAACCCTGAACCCTGAACCCTGAACCCTGAACCCTGAACCCTAAACCCTAAACCCTAAACCCTGCCAGGCGCGTGGGGTCACCTGGCGACGCTCCCCGAAGACTGCCGCCCCTCTGAGCCTTGGCAGCCCTGGGCACCATTTTTCCGCTTTTGGTGAGTCATAAGGTTCCCTTATCGAGGAACCAAGCCCAAGAAGGGCGCCCTAAACCCTAAACCCGAAGGGTGACTTAACCCCTAACCCGGTAAACCCTAAACCCTAAACCCTAAACGACGATGGTTACTGGGGCTACCGAGGAGGGCGCCTTAGTCTTCGTGGCAAACAACGACGAGCTGCAGCCTGACCAAATGAACCCTAAAGGGATGTATGGTTCATAAACCCTAAACCCTAAACCCTAAGTAGGAGCTATAGTAGTATAGGGTATGTGACCCCAATTTTGGGGTTCATTTGGTTTCTCAAGGTGGGGGGAAGTTGAGAGGTCGTTGCGTTTCGGTGTGCCGCTGGGTCATTGTCCACGCCGTGTGTTTGTGGCGCCACAACAGACTTGCTCAGATCATGCTGCTGTCAACGCTAGCAAAAAACAAATGTCGAATCTAGGTTAAGGGATCACGTCGGTCTACAGTGTATTTCTGTTGGCTTTTGGGGCCCCGGGGGGGGGGGGTATCGTTGCGGACCCGAGTACGGCAAGACACGATGAGGCTCTCTTCCGTCAGCAGGGGAAAGAATCATTGTGCCTTGGGTTTAGGGTTGAATCGAAGGGTTTAGGGTTGAGGGCTTAGGATTGAAGATTTAGTGGGTTTAGGGAGAAGCCTTGAAGATTTACCGCTGGCGAGGCTTTGGCAATGGGTGCTACCCTAAACCCTAAACCCTAAACCCTAGATGCTGTGCCCCAGATCGGCTCCCAGAGTTTTGGGCGCTAAGTGGCTCTCACTGGGTCCACGGACGTGTGCCACCGCGGGAGCGTGAAATGGAAGGCTGTTACATGCCAACATGCCCTATGGGTCCATGGACCTATATAGTATAGGGTTTAGGGTTTAGGGTTTAGGGTTTAGGGTTTAGGGTTTATATAGTTGGGCCCTGAAGCTGCTATGTGGGAACCCTTTAAGGCCCAAGTATATACTCTATAGTTACATGGACCCCTAGGGATGCTTGTTGCATGTGTGACACTGGGGGGGGGGGGGTAGAAAACAACACAAGGTGCCAGTCGCCTGGGAGGGCGTTTCTTGCGCCTTAAACTGTGAACCTAGAACCCTGAACACCCTAAACCGTACAAACCCTACAATGAATGTACCTACAAACCCTACACCGCCACAGAATCTGCGCCTAAAACCTAATCCCTAAACCCTAAAGCCCCCCTGAGCTGCGTCCAAAGGCCTGCACGAGTCAACGTCGAGGCGGATGGCCGGATCAATTGGCTGGCTGGAGGCTGCTTCCGGGGGCTTAGGGTTGAAGGTTTATAGGGTTCGGGTTTAGGGTTTAGGGGTTTTGGGGTTTAGGGTTTCGGGTTTAGGGGGTAGGGTTGAAGGTTTATAGGGTTTAAGGTCTTATAGGGCTTTAGGTGTAGTGTAAGTAAGGTTTATAAGGTAGGGTTTAGGGCTTATGTTTAGGATTTAGGGTTCGGGAGTTCGTGTTTGGAAAAATGCAGGGTTACTTGGGGAACAGGTACTGGATCAACTACTTACATCTTTCGATTCCATAGATCGCAGCAGCAAGAGAGATGACGCCTCACCTTTCTTGGGCCCTAAACCCTAAAGCCTAAACCCTAAACCCTAAACCCTAAACCCTAAACCCTAAACCCTAAACCCTAAACCCTAAACCCTAAACCCTAAACATGTTCCGTCCTCCGCTCCTTCATCGCTTGAACAGCGCGTGGCATTTTCTAGTTGCCTGGACCCTCGCAACCAAATCACAGCAGTAGGGTTTAGGGTTTAGGGTTTAGGGTTTAGGGTTTAGGGTTTAGGGTTTAGGGTTTAGGGTTTAGGGTCATGAGTGATAAGCTTTGGTTTTCTTCGGCCTTGAAAACGTAATGACCTGAGCAACTCGGATACATGTGTCATGAATTCCTTTCCTCTTTTCTCTGAGATTCACACAGCTTCATAAAACGCAAAACGCTGCTTGTTTATGAATATGAATCCTTCCTCACACGCAATGCATCGTCCCAGCGCACGTTTTTTCTGAGGCAACGGGCATCACTGGATCAGCCTGAGCGGCATCGTCTTCTCTCCGAGCAGCGCGAATATCGCAGGGTACACCATTCCCCTCCAGAGACGTGGCTTTCAGGGTTTACAGGGTCGGGCTTAGAGGGCCCATATTATAGGGTTGATAAGGTTCATACTTTACGGGGCTTATAGGGTTTATACTCATAGACTATAGGGTGTTACGGTTAGTTGATAATAGGGTTCACATAGCATGCAGGGTTTTCAGTGCGACCGTCCTGGATGCCTGCCCGGCCATGCAATCGGCACAGCCATTCACAGACTGAGGAATGGCTGGACCAACTACAATAAGGGCTATGCCCCTGCAAAGTACAGAGTGCCTTGGGGGGGGGGGGGGGGGACCAAACGATTGGCATCGTAGACCCTATGCGACTAGAACCCCGGGTAAGGTATTACCCAAAAAGCCCCATAAACCCTTATGCCTAAAAGCCCCTTTTATAGGGTTTATAAACTGAGTCCCCTAAACCCTAAACCCTAAACCCTGAACCCTAAACCCTAAACCCTAAACCCTAAACCACCCTAAAGGTGGTGAGTGGCATTTGCATCCTCGAGGGCCTCATCGAAACAGGCTCCAGCAACCACGCGGCGACGTTGCCCTCCGACTGCCGTCCCAAGAAGAAGCTGGCCGCTCGGGGCGGAAGATCGGGAAAAGAAAACATATGTACATTTTATAATATCATACATATATATATATATGTATGTATGTATACATTATGTGGTTTTATGTTCATATTCAGTCCTTAGAGTTTAGGGTTTCTTGTTTAGGGTTGAGGGTTTAGGGTTCAGGGTCTAGGGTTCAGGGCCTGGCAGGGTGAGTGAGTAGTCTTACCAGCTGAGTGAGTACACTTTACACTTTTTGGGATACTATACTCCCCTATAGAACTGAAAGTGTACACTTTTTTGGAGCTTATGAACTCAGCAACTAAGTGCAAGTGTGATCGCGTTTCATGATCGTATTGACGAAGGTGGCGCATCTGAATCTCCTTGGGGACCAAAGGAACCCGAAAAAGGGTTTATGGTTCATATACCTTAGCAGGGGGGTTTATAGTAGGACAGGGTTATTACGACTCCCAATTTTAGGGTTCCTGTGGTCCCCGAGCCTGGGATCGGCCTTTTTGTCTCAAGGCTTCTGCCAAGAATCAGCGGCTTGCTGAGCGGGTTTAGGGTTTAGGGTTTCTTGGCTTAGGTTTTCGATGCCAACAAGCACGAAAACATTGACCGGATCGATGTGGGCGCGGACGGCCAGATCATCTTCTACAGCTTGCATCTCGGCGTGAAGCATTCAGCAATACTCCTGCACCGCATTGAGTGACCAAAAGCGACCGATAGCATGTCAAAGCCAACATGCTCCGGGGTCGTTGCGACAGGGGAATCGTTTGCAGTGGTCAGTCCTCCGGGTGATCAGCATCTCTTTCAGCATCCCCTGCCCCTAAGCCCTATAACCCTAAACCCTAAACTCTAAAGCCTAGGCCCTGCCCAGGCCCATAAACCCTATCAACCCTGGACAAAGCCCCTGCAAAGCCTTTTGCTCCCAGGAATTCCGGGGGCTGGGCCAGCTTGTCGGGCGTGGCTTTCGACGTGGAGCCGCCTGCCAGAAATTGCGTGGTTGGGGTTGAGGGTTTAGGGTTTAGGGTTTAGGGTTTAGGGCTCATCTGGACTTCTTGAAAGCCTCAAAAAGGACAGCAGAGAACAGGTGGGCTAGAGGCCGATGGCTCTCAGGCCGTCGGCGTTGCACTCTTGCAGCCGAGGTAAAGGGACCCCAAGGGAGCTCCGAGGGGTCTCCGGAGATGAGATGAGACGCACGGCTCGTCATGATCTGATCTGCAAGAAAAAAGATTGCAGCTCACATGCCACTTCATTCAGAACACATCGTCCCCCCCCCCCCCCCCATTTTTTGCTGTTAAAATTGTCTCCCCCCCCTCCGGCCGGTTCTTAAAAGTCGAAGCTTTTGCTCGTGCCCGCAGCTAGCAGCCCAGGCCTTCTGCTGAGACCTTGAGCTGTTCCTGCCCTCCTCCCTTAAGTGAGCAATGAAGCAGACCCTCGCAGCGATTCTGGCGGCCTCGGCCCACGGCATCGTCATCCATGCCCCATCAGGCTCTTTTGAAGCAGAGAGCACGGCAAAGGCCCATAAGGTGTTTAAAGTCGTATTTAGATTCTTAGTCTTATTCTTGTGTATTTCCTTGCTCTTATATGTTAATTACTGTTACTACTGCAATTACTATAGCATTCTGTTACTAGACGTGTTTCTATTGCAATTACTCATTTAGTTCAAGCATTCCCACCTACCACAGGATCCAACTTCGACTTCGGGAACCCCAAGTGCCCGTGCGTCGGGGTCCTGGGCATGGAGGGCACCACCGAGGTGAAGATCTCCTCGCACTTTGGCCGGCACGACCTCAAAATCCCTCCCAGGGCCCCCGAAAAACCCCTATGGAAACCCTAAAATGACTAGGGTTTAGGGTTTAGGGTTTAGGGTTTAAGGTTTAGGGTTTAGGGTTTAGGGTTTAGGGTTTAGGGTTTAGGGCCGAAGTTTAGGGTTTGGGGTTCAGGGTCCCTCTTCAGGGGGGTGGTTCTTCTAAGGGCGCTGCATTATGTAGGGGACGCAACAAGGGGACCCGAATTTACAGAACTGCCCACGTGCTGCCCAGCAATGCACCCACAGACTGATCAGACCCATTCTCGGGCCTAAACCCTAAACCCTGAACCCTAAACCCTGAACCCTAAACCCTAAACGCTCCAGGAACGCGACGGCAGACTACCCCGCCGACTTCGGCGCGCGCTGCGCTGCTTGGGAAGCTCGGCGTGGAAGCATAACTAGCTGGGGCCCTCTTTTCTTAGGGTTTAGGGTTCGGTTTAGGGTTTAGGGATATGGGTTTAGGGTTTAGGGTTTAGGGTTTAGGGTTTAAGGTTTTATGGGCTATACCTACAAATTCAGGGTAGTTACTACTAACCTGTACGTTAATAGAGTCCCACAAGTAGCATCGACCGCTGCCCTTAGCTGCTGCCGGTGTGGGGTCAAGAAGGTTCCTGCTGTTTGCGGGTCACCTGGTCACCTGCTCTTGACACTTCCTGCAAGAAGTAGGAGTCGTCCGCTGCCCCGAAATGCTGAAACCAGTGGGGGGGTCTGTTGCGCAGTTTGATTCTGGAACTCAGCACCCCTCGACCTCAGCATTGACCCCAACCTTCCCTACTTCCAGGCAGGCTTGGTATTGCGCTGGTTTCGGGGAGATGATTCGGGGAAACAGATTAAGCGATGCTGGGCAAAAAGTTCCGTCGCTAAGGAACCCTAACCCCTGAACCCGAAAAACCTAGAAAACCCCTAAATGCCCCTATAAACCGTCTAAAACCCTGCAAACACTGCAAACCCTCAAAGCCCTACAACACACTATTAAAAAAAACCCTAAAACAGCCCTACAAACCCTATACAAAACCCTAAGAAACGGCCCCTCAAAAGCCTACCGCAGGACAACAAGCGCAACAAGGCCTTCTGCATGCCCGGGCAGAAGCCAGGTCCATGGGGCACAAGAACTGGAGGGTTTATAGGGTTTAGGGTTTAGGGTTTAGGGTTTAGGACCAAACGAAGCCCAAAAGGGTTTAGAGGTTTAGGAGCTAAGGGATATAAGGGTTTAGCTGTTTAGGGGTTTAGGGGGTTCGTGGTTCGGACACCTTAGTTACTAGGGATTGTAGGAGTATAGGGTTTGTGACCTTAGTTATGGGGGTCATGTGGTCCCCAAGGTTTGTAGTGTTTACTCGACTTTATTTGAGGTTTGTTTGTAGGGGCTCGAAGCCTCACAGGGCTTATCGGACTTCGAGATCTTTAAGGCTCATATGGTCTATGGGTCTTTGTGCCTAAACCCTATAAATCTTAAGTCTTACACCCTAACCCCCTAAGGGCTTATCTGGTTTTCCAGGGTCATCGGGGTTTAGACCTTGGGGACCAAATGAACTCTAAAATTGGTGTCATTATACCCTGACTACTGTAATTAATTCCTATTAAGGTATAGGGGCCATAAACCATTAAAAGGTTCATTTCGTCCCCAAGGTAGGGTTTGGTCTGGGATCCCAACCGCTTGCACGCATTGGAGAATGGTGTTCGGCAGGTGCCGACAACGGCTGGTGTGCCCTGGAAGCATGCCAAGAACCCGAAACCCTAACCCTAAACCCTAAACCCTAAACCCTAGGGCCTTATGGACCCTAGAGGCTTAGACCCTAAACCCTATACCCTTCTGATCCTGGTAGTTGCCTCGTTGGTTCCCCATGGGGTGAAGTTCTTGGCAGTTTTGGTCAGGCGCCGAGCCCTTCTGCTACGTGGCGGACTCAGTGCAAAGTGCAAGATGTCCTGCACAGACTAAGTCGAGAGGTCCGAGCTTCTCACAACGGGCTTACCTGTGTAGTAGGTTATCACCCCGAAATGTAGGGCAGAACCCCCGAAGCAGTAGGTAAACGGAGCCCAGTTGAGTCGAGTCTCCGCTTCGGGTGGACCCCTGCAACTGAAACCCCAAACCCTAAACCCTGAACCCTAATTAAACCCTAAATCCTAAACCCTAAACCCTAAACCCTAAACCCACGGCTCCTCTCGTGGCTTCAGGTGGACCCCTGCAACTGCGACCTCGATGTGCCCCCTACGAAGTCGGGAAGCTCCACGGCCTCCCTGAATCGCTTCGTTTGAAGGGGGTTTAGGGTTTAGGGTTTAGGGTTTAGGGTTTTGGTTGTTTGGCTGTTTTGGCGGTTTTGGCGGTTTTGGGGGGAGCTGTTCTCTTTGTTCTCTCTGTTTCTGTAAGAAAAGATGGTTCCCTTGTGGAGGGGTGGTGTACCTTCAACATGCCGTATGCTGATGGGGACCCCAAAACTGGGGATTGTAATCTACAGAGCCCCCCCCCCCCACCCCCAGTGTTTTCTCCATTGCATGAAAATTCGGAAGCTTTGTTTTTTTGCTCAATCCATTCACTTCTTTTTCGGAAGCATCTTGGGAAGACCCGCAGCCCAGGCACCCGAAACCCTAAACCCTAAACCCTAAGCCCTTAACCCTAAACCCTAAACCCTAAACCAGGCTACTTGCCCAATGCCAGCTACCAGGGCAAGGGCATCTGGTATTCCTACGTGACTTGCGGAGGCCCAGCTCTATGGGGCTTAGGGTTTTCAGGGGGCGGAGGAGGGCTTGCAAGAGTTTTCAGAGCTCTCCGGGTTTAGGGTTTAGGGTTTAGGGTTTCGGGTTTAGGGTTTAGGGTTTAGGGTTTAGGGTTTAGGGCGGCATTGAGACATGTTTACCTGTGCGTCAATGGAGGCAAGGACTACTGGCTGGACGCGGAGACCAAGAAGAAGAACCAGGATGCACACAGCAGTCTGAAACAATCACATTAAGGGATAGAAGGAGGGACCCCCCTACAAGGGACTACATAACCCTTTATAACCCTTACATAATCCCTTTAGTTCCCCGACTACCCCCCTCTATACTACCCCAGAGTTGCTGCCCCCAGAATCAAGGCTACTTAGGGATATGAAGCCTAATTCAAGCTAACCCATGATCGTGGAAATATGACCTTGTCAGTTCTCTAATTTAGGGTCCCTTTTTGAGGGGCCGCCTCCCAAAGAGGACCCCAAAAGAGACCATATTTCAGGAGATGACCATCGAGGATTCAGTTTGAGATTGCATGCATCCCTTTGGAGGGCTATATCGGCGAGTGTGCACATGTGGGGCATCCTTTTGCAGGTGCCAGTGCGTCGTGGCTGCCTCCGGTGCATCCCTAAACCCTGAACCCTAAACCCCTAGACCACGGAGCCCGAACAGTCCAGGAGGCCAACGGAGTGTGCGAGAAGAAGCCGGATGAGAAGAAGTGGGGCAAGGAGTCATCCCCGAAACCCCTTTAAACCCTAAACCCCAAACCTTAAACCCTAAACCCTACACCCTAAACCTCAAGCCAGCTAGAGCATGGCTCGGAAGAGCCTCGGACTCCTCAGCCCCGGGGATAGTCGCGGCTCATCCCCTGCGCAGGCGAGCTGCCGCTGCGTTGGCTACGAGGGCGCCCCAGGAACTGTCAACATCACCCTGAACAAGAAGGAGCGACTTTGCGGCCATGGGGTTTAGGGTTTGGGGTTTAGGGTTTGGGGTTTGGGGGTTAGGGTTTTAGGTCTTAGGGTGGCACTATGCTCCAAGCCGGTGTTTCCATACTTGTTCCCATAATCCCTAAACCCTAAACCCGAAACCCTAAACCCTAACCCTAAACCCTAAACCCTAAACCCTGCAGAAGCCAAGGGTCCAGTATCCTACGGACACGGGCGCCACCTGTGAGTCCTGGGACGCCAAGACCCACCCTGCGCCTCGAATCGCAGTCTGAAGTCTGAAGTGTGTCATCCCATAAGGTTGAGGGGTTTGGGGGTTTAGGGTTTTGGGTTTTGGGTTGGGGATATTATATATTCTGCCCTTATTGGGTTTAAAAGGCTAAGGGATTGAGGGTTTTGGGGGGTTGTGGGGGTTTAGGGTTTAGGGATATGTAGTTGTTCCCCTTGTTGGGCTGAAGAGGATCATATCTAGGAACATTTTGTAAATGGGGGGTTTGGTGGTTTTAGGGGTTTAGGGGTTTTGGGTTTTGCTGCTTTTGATGTCCGAGCATCCGCGAGTCAGGATTGCACCGGTGACAAGCCTGCCGACGCTCGGCATCGCTTGGTTGTCTTCCTGCATGGGCTCTTATACCCTATAACCCCTTAAAAGGCCCTTTAAAGGGCTATGACCCCTTAAAAGGCCCTTTAAAGGGCTATAACCCCTTAAACGGCCCTTTAAAGGGCTAAAGGTTGGTTAGGGGGATTATAGGGGCCCACTAGCCCATCCTGGTTGTTGTGGATCAGTCTGGAGCACTCAGAAGCGGCCCCTTGCCTCAGTTACCCGAAACCCTTGCAACCCTAAACCCCTGCAACCCTAAACCCTAAACCCTTAGGGCTTAGAGTTTGCCACCGAGCCGTGCAAGCTTTGCATCACATGTTTCAAGAGACTCACGCCTGGCACGCGCAGGTTGTTGGTGGCCAATCCGCCCCTCCACCCACTCCCCCGCCCCCACGCGCGAAAATGCTGGTACCTGGTTTATGGCTCATACACCTTTGTCGGCTCCCAGGTATTCACAATCACTCTGTCTCTGTCTGACTTGAATTACCCCTAAACCCTGAACCCCTAGACCGCCCTAAGCCCCGAACGCCCCTTAAGCCCTTAAACCCCTTCAACCCCTAAACCACTCCTAAACCACTAAACCCCTCAACCCCCACAAACCCTTAAAGCCCCTAAAACCTCCAAAACCCCTTAAACCTTTAAAAACAAGCTAAAACCCCTAAAGCCCTCATTGTGCATCTTCGGTCTTGCGAACTCTGGGAGTTTCAAATCCGAAGTGTGGGGCCCTTGGCTTTGATTCCGGGTTGAGTGGATGTAGGGTGTAGGGAACCCTGAACCCTAAACCCTAAACCCTAAACCCTAGGGTTCAGCCTTGGGGCCCTAAACCCCTTGGTGTGAAGAAGGCCCAATCACTCTCTGGAACTGTCCACAGCACGGGAACACTACAAAAAGCCCGAGCTTGAATGGGCTCTACGGGGTTCATGGCACCCAAGAAATATAGGTTTAGGGTAACCGAGAGCGTAGCAACTGACGTCGTTGCTCTATTAGATGAGCCATGGTCAGTTCAATCAACGTAGCATTGCAAGATTGCCTCCTTCGCGTTCGCTTGGACAGCCGGTACGGGCCGCTGAAACCATAAGCGCTGCGCGTGCATCCTGCAGCCAAACATATAGGATGACCACTTTGGTCCACTATACCAACATTCGTGGGAACACCGTTCTCGCCCCACAATTTTGTTGGTTTAGGGTTTAGTGTTTAGGGTTTAGGGTTTAGCTTGCCCCATGCTTGGCATTCCTAGCACTTGTGAGCCAAGCTGCGCAGTGATTGGAGGAGGTTGGGCTGGGCGCCATCCCAAGGGATGGGGTTTGTGTTCAGTTTGGGAAAGTAGGGTTTGGGAAGGTTTGAGAAGGTTTAGGGTGTAGGGTTTAGGGTTTATAATTTAGGTTTACGGTTAGGTTGAGGGTTTATGGTTTAGGGTTTGGGGGTTTGCAGGGCTTTGTAGCCTGGCAATCAGGGTTTTCGGGTCGACCGAGGCCCGCTGGGGGAGGGTTGGGAATCTCCTCTTGATCTCACCCTGAATGGCCCCTGAACCCTAAGCACCCTAAACCCTAAACACCCTAAACCCTAAACACCCCCGAAACACCCTGAATTCCTAAACACCCTAAACCCTAAACCCGTCTCAGGACTGGTGCAAGCAAGCCTGGTGCTCCTCGGCAGCCTCATGTTTCGGCATCTCTTGTGATGTTCAAAAGAGTCTGGAGCCACTTCTGAGTCCATCCCCCACATCCCCGAGCTCACTTTCAATTCTCACCTTGCTCAGAACTCCCTAAACCCTAAACCCTAAACCCTAACCCTAAAACCTAAAACCTAAACCCTAAACCCTACACCCCAACTCCACCAACTTCAGCATGGCAGGCTACGTCGACCCGTGCGAATGCGATTTGGACCCCGATGTGCAGTTGGGGCTGTCAGACTTAGAAGCCGTGAATGGTCGGCCCTAGCCTTACCCGTGTCCAGGGAGTCCAGTGTGCAGCTAGTCGGGATGATTCTACTTTCATATAATTTATTCTATTACCATATTAACACTATATTTGTATATTTATGTCAGTAGTTTTCGACTAGTTTCTCATTTTGGTATTCAAGTCTTCAATCATTCTAGTAGTCTACTACTCTCTTGTTCTGTATTCTATTATTCCAATATTCCATTCGTCTATCATTTGATTATTTCATTCTTCTCGTATTATATCTTTGAAATATATATATATATATATATGATTCAGCCCCGGCGGGCCCCCCCCCCCTCCCCCCTACCCCCCCCCCCCGTGGGTGGCTTTAAATAGGGTCTATTTGGAAGCTGGGACTCGGGTTTTCTTATAGCCATACACGTTTCCACGAGGGTACGCTGCTGTCACGTCAGTCGTACTATGGAGGCCTCAGGAACAAGAACCAGGTAGTTCCTCTTTTCTCTTCTCTTTTTCTCCTCAATCCTAAAGTCGAAGGCTCTCGTGAGGAGAAGAGAAGGGAGAGAAGGAGGGAAAGATAAGAGGAACACGATTTTCATGGGAAGAGCCAAGAAAAGAATAGAAGAGAGATAAAACAAGGCGCAAAGAAGATGGTACTCTTCTTTATCTATCCTCTCTCCCTTATCTCTCCGTTCCCTCTGTCTTTTCGAAATGAGAAAAACAAAAAGAAAGATGAAAAGAAGAAGGGTTAGGAAAAGAGCCGAAGAGATAGGCCGAAAAGAGGGGTATGGTGAAGTACGGCAAAGGTCCACGCACAAGGAGTCACCTTCTGCTTACCCTTCCACTGCTTGATTTTACAAGCTCCTTTCTTGTGTTTTATCAGTTAAAATTAAAAGGAAACAGAAGGAGAGAAGGGAAAGAGACAACAAGGAGGCCATTTTAATTTCCTGTGAGTTATCAAAAGGAATGCAATATTATGGGAAGAGCAATGGAAAAAAGAGTGGAAGAGAAATTAAGACAGGAGAGGGAGGTGCAAAAATAAGGCAAAGAGAAGATGGTGCCGTTTTCATCTCACCTCTCGTTCTTATCTTCCTTGAAATAAAAAAACAAAAGGAAGGACAATGAACATATAAAGGAACCCGTTTTCGTTTTCCGTTTGGGCACAAGGAAAAAAACAGAGGCGATAGGGCGAGAGGAGGGGTTTGCTGAAGCATGGGGAGGGTGTACGGGCAAGGGGCCAACTCCGCCCACTTCCCCCATCCATTGAAAGAGGAAAAGGAACAGGGCCTCCATTCCCCTCTTATTCTTCCTTTCTTGCGTTTTTGTCGTTTAGAAGGGAACAGGAGAAGAGGAGGGAGAGAGAAGGAGAGAGGAGACATAAAAAGGGTTGCATTTTTAATGGGAAGAGCAAAGAAAAGACCAGAAGAGAGATGATGGGAGAAGAGGGGGAGACAAAACAAGGCGCACAGAAAATGGGCAGATAAGAAGAGAGGAAAGGGAATGACCAAGTACAATGAGGAGTTCTTCAATTTCCCTCCCTATCTCTTATGTTACTTTTCCTTCTTGTGGGGTGTCCCTTTTTCTCTTGAAGATGCAGAAAACGATTGAAAAGGACACCCGTTCCATCGCCCATGTGTAGGGAAAGAGAGAGAATCATGAGCATCAGCTGGGCTTGCTGCCAATCCAACATGGGCGTCCCTTTTAATCGCAGTCTGTGTCCTTTTTTCTCGCTTGAAGATGCAGAAAACGATCCAAAAGCACATCTGTTGGAGGAAGAGAGAAGGAGAGAGGAGAGATACCAAGGATTGCATATTTAATGGGAAGAGCAAGGAAGAGAATAGAAGACAGATGAATAGAGAAGATGGCGCTCTTCTTTATCTATTCTCTCTCCCTTGTTTCTCCCTTCCCTCTTTCTTTTCGAAATGAGAAAAACAAAAAGGAAGAACTATGAGAAGGAGAAGAGTAAGGAAAGGAACAGAAGAGATAGGCCGAGAGGATGAATATGATGGAGTATTATGGAAAGGCTCACGCGCAAGGAGTCACCCTCTGCTTACCTTTTCACTGCTTTATCATATGAGTTCCTTTCTTGTGTTTTATCAGTTAAAAGGAAGCGGAAGAAGAGAAGGGAAAGGGAAGTGAGAGAGGAAAGATAACAAGGATGCTATGTTTCCCGAAGCGTGCTGCAAGGAATAGAAGAGACAGGAAGCAAGGAGACGGAATCACAAAATAAGGCGCAAAGCTGTACATATCATCTCTCCCTTGTCTCTCCCTATTCCCTTTCGAACTAGAAAAAACCATTCTTGCTTTTCACAGATAGGTTCCCTCTCTCCTCTTCAGGAAATCCCCTTTCCCTTATGTTGCTTTTTGAAGCGAATAAGAAAAATAGCAGATAAGAAGAGAGGAAAGGGTCAATTTCCCTCCCTATCTCTTATGTTGCTTTTCCTTCTTGTGGGGTGTCCCTGTTTCTCTTGAAGATGCAGAAAACGATTGAAAAGGACACCCGTTCCATCGCCCATGTGTAGGGAAAAGAGAGAGAATCATGAGCATCAGCTGGGCTTGCTGCCAATCCAACATGGGCGTCCCTTTTAATCGCAGTCTGTGTCCTTTTTTCTCGCTTGAAGATGCAGAAAACGATCCAAAAGCACATCTGTTGGAGGAAGAGAGAAGGAGAGAGGAGAGATACCAAGGATTGCATATTTAATGGGAAGAGCAAGGAAGAGAATAGAAGACAGATGAATAGAGAAGAGGGAGAGACAAAACAAGGCGCAGAGAAGATGGCACTCTTCTTTATCTATTCTCTCTCCCTTGTTTCTCCCTTCCCTCTTTCTTTTCGAAATGAGAAAAACAAAAAGGAAGAACTATGAGAAGGAGAAGAGTAAGGAAAGGAACAGAAGAGATAGGCCGAGAGGATGAATATGATGGAGTATTATGGAAAGGCTCACGCGCAAGGAGTCACCCTCTGCTTACCTTTCCACTGCTTTATCATATGAGTTCCTTGCTTGTGTTTTATCAGTTAAAAGGAAGCAGAAGAGAAGGGAAAAGCAAAAATGGAGCCCAACATTTTAGGACCAGGGCTTGCGATCTGACTCTTTGGAGCAAAAATCGATTCCAAAATCTTAGGGACCAGGGCTTGCGATGTTACTCTTTGGAGCAAGAAATGAGCCCAAAATCTGAAAGACCGGGGCTTGCGATTTCACCTTTTGGAGCAAATACTGGGCCCAAAATCTTAGGGACCAGGGCTTGCAATTTGACTCCGTGGAGCACAAATCGACCCCGAAATCTTAGGGACCAGGGCTTGCGATTTGACTCTGTGGAGCACAAATCGACCCCGAAAACCTAGGGACCAGGGCTCGCGATTTGACTCTTTGGAGCAAAAATCGACCCAAAAATCTAAGGGACCAGGGCTTGCGATTTTACTCTTTGGCGCAAAAACTGGGCCCCAAATCTTAGGGACAAGGGCTTGCGATGTCACTCTTTGGAGCAAAAAATGAACCCAAAATCTTAGGGACCAGGGCTTGCGATTTGACTCTTTGGAGCAAAAACTGGGCCCCAAATCTTAGGGACCAGGGCTTGCGATTTGACTCTTTGGAGCAAAAATTGAACCCAAAATCTTAGGGACCAGGGCTTGCGATTTGACTCTTCGGAGCAAAAACTGGGCCCAAGATCTTAGGGACCAGGGCTTGCGATGTCACTCTTTGGAGCAACAATGAATGCAAAATCTTAGGGACCAGGGCCTGCGATTTGACTCTTTGGAGCAAAAATTGAACCCAAAATCTTAGGGACCAGGGCTTGCGATTTGACTCTTTGGAGCAAAAACTGGGCCCAAGATCTTAGGGGCCAGGGCTTGCGATGTCACTCTTTGGAGCAAAAAATGAACCCAAAATCTTAGGGACCAGGGCTTGCGATTTGACTCTTTGGAGCAAAAACTGGGCCCCAAATCTTAGGGACCAGGGCTTGCGATGTCACTGTTTGGAGCAAAAAACGAACCCAAAATCTTAAGGACCAGGGCTTGCGATGTCACTCTTTGGAGCAAAAATTGAACCCAAAATCTTAGGGACCAGGACTTGCGATGTCACTCTTTGGAGCAAAAACTGGGCCCCAAATCTTAGGGACCAGGGCTTGCGATGTCACTCTTTGGAGCAAAAATGAACCCAAAATCTTAGGGACCAGGGCTTGCGATGTTACTCTTTGGAGCAAAAACTGGGCCCCAAATCTTAGGGACCAGGGCTTGCGATGTCACTCTTTGGAGCAAAAATTGAACCCAAAATCTTAGGGACCAGGACTTGCGATGTCACTCTTTGGAGCAAAAACTGGGCCCCCAATCTTAGGGACCAGAGCTTGCGATGTCACTCTTTGGAGCAAAAATTGAACCCAAAATCTTAGGGACCAGGGCTTGCGATTTGACTCTTCGGAGCAAAAACTGGGCCCCAAATCTTAGGGACCAGGGCTTGCGATGTTACTCTTTGGAGCAAAGATTGAACCCAAAATCTTAGGGACCAGGGCTTGCGATTTGACCCTTTGGAGCAAAAACTGGGCCCAAAATCTTAGGGACCAGGGCTTGCGATTTGACTCTTTGGAGCACCTGGGCCCAAGATCTTAGGGACCAGGGCTTGCGATGTCACTCTTTTGGGCAAGAAATGAGCCCAAAATCTTAGGGAGCAGGGCTTGCGATTTGACCCTTTGGAGCAAAAACTGTGCCCCAAATCTTAGGGACCAGGGCTTGCGGTTTGACTCTGTGGAGCAAAAATTGAACCCGAAATCTTCGGGACCAGGGCTTGCGATTTGACTCTTCGGAGCAAGAAATGAGCCCAAAATCTTAAGGACCAGGGCTTGCTTTGGAGCAAAAAACTGAGTCCAAAATCTTAGGGACCAGGGCTTGCGATTTGACTCTTTGGAGCAAAAACTGGGCCCCAAATAATAGGGACCAGGGCTTGCGATGTTACTCTTTGGGGCAAGAAATGAGCCCAAAATCTTAGGGACCAGGGCTTGCGATGTTACTCTTTGGGGCAAGAAATGAGCTCAAAATCTTAGGGACCAGGGCTTGCGATGTCACTTTTTGGAGCAAAAACTGTGCCCTAGTATTGGGGGGAGGAGGGCTCGTGATTTAGTATTGGGAGGAGGCCCGGGCTCGTAAATTAGTATTGGGGGGAGGCCCGGCTCGTGATTTAGTATTGCGGGAGGCCCGGGCTCGTGATTTAGTATTGGGGGGAGGCCCGGGCTCGTGATTTAGTATTGGGGGGAGGCCCGGCCTCGTAATTTGGAGGCCTGGGCTCGTGATTTAGCCCGGGCTCGTGATTTAGTATTGGGGGGAGGCCCGGGCTCGTGATTTAGTATTGCGGGAAGGCCCGGGCTCGTAATTTAGTATTGGGGGGAGGCCCGGGCTCGTGATTTAGTATTGGGGGGAGGCCCGGGCTCGTGGTTTAGTATTGGGGGGAGGAGGATGCCCCAGCCCCCACCCCCCATTTGGAAATAAATGAATTAATTGAATTAATTGAAATAATTGAATTAATTAAGTAATTCAATTAATTGATTTATTTCCAAAGGGGAGGTGGAGTTAATTGAATTAATTTTAAATTAATTCAATTATTTCAATTAATTCAAGTAATTCATTTATTTCCAAATGGGGGGGATTCCCCAGCCCCCACCCCCCCCTTTGGAAATAAATGACTTAATTGAATTAATTGAATTAATTGAATTAATTGAATTAATTGAATTAATTCAATTAATTCAATTAATTCATTTATTTCCAAAGGGGAGGTGGAATTAATTGAATTGATTGAATTAATTGAATTAATTGAATTAATTCAATTAATTCAATTAATTTATTTATTTCCAAAGGGGAGGTGGAATTAATTGAATTAATTGAATTAATTCAATTATTTCAATTAATTCAATTAATTCAATTAATTCATTTATTTCCCAATGGGGGGGGATTCCCCAGCCCCCACCCCCCCCCTTTGGAAATAAATGAACTAATTGAATTAATTGAATTAATTGAATTAATTGAATTAATTGAATTAATTGAATTAATTGAATTTCAAGTAATTCAATTAATTCATGTATTTCCAAAGGGTAGGTGGCATTAATTGAATTAATTGAATTAATTCAATTATTTCAATTAATTCACTTAATTCAATTAATTCATTTATTTCCAAAGGGGGGGGAGGGGTGGGGGCTGGGGAATCCCCCCATTTGAAAATAATTGAATTAATTGAATTAATTGAATTAATTGAATTAATTGAATCAATTCAATTAATTCAATTCATTCAATTAATTCAATCAATTCCACCCCCCCCCCTTTGGAAATAAATGAATTAATTGAATTAATTGAATTAATTCAATTAATTCAATTAATTCAATTAATTCAATTAATTCATTTATTTCCAAAGGGGGGGGGGGGTGGGGGCTGGGGAATCCCCCCCATTTGGAAATGAATGAACTAATTGAACGAAATTATTTAAACTATCGCGGCTCGATTTGGCCAAATTTTGCCGGGCAGCCTGCGGGCAAAATTTGGCCAAATCCGGCTGCTCTTCGTATGCCATGAGAAATGCGCGGCTCGATTTGGCCAAATTTTGCCCGGAGGCTGCCCGGCAAAATTTGGCCAAATCGAGCCGCGCATTTCTCAGCGCGTACGACGAGCAGCCCGATTTGGCCAAATTTTGCCCGCAGACTTCCCGGCAAAATTTGGCCAAATCGAGCCGCGATAGTTTAAATATTTTCGGGCCTCCAGAAAGGCGCGGCTCGATTTGGCCAAATTTTGCCGGGCAGTCTGCGGGCAAAATTTGGCCAAATCGGGCTGCTCGTCGAACGCGATGAGAAATGCGCGGCTCGATTTGGCCAGATTTTGCCGGGCAGCCTCCGGGCAAAATTTGGCCAAATCGAGCCGCGCCTTTCTGAAGGCCCGAAATTTTTAAACTATCGCGGCTCGATTTGGCCAAATTTTGCCGGGCAGCTTCCGGGCAAAATTTGGCCAAATCGGGCTGCCCTTCGTATGCGATGATGAGAAATGCGTGGCTCGATTTGGCCAAATTTTGCCCGGAGGCTGCCCGGCAAAATTTGGCCAAATCGAGCCGCGATAGTTTAAATCATTTCGGGCCTCCAGAAAGGCGCGGCTCGATTTGGCCAAATTTTGCCGGGCAGCCTCCGGGCAAAATTTGGCCAAATCGAGCTGGGGGGGTGGGGTCTGGGGAATCCCCCCCATTTGGAAATAAATGAATTAATTGAATTAATTGAATTAATTGAATTAATTGAATTAATTGACATTAAATTAATTCAATTAATTCCACCCCCCCTTTGGAAATAAATGAATTAATTGAATTAATTGAATTAATTGAATTAGTTGAATTAATTCAATTAATTCAATTAATTCAATTAATTCATTTATTTCCAAAGGGGGGGGAGGGGTGGGGGCTGGGGAATCCCCCCCATTTGGAAATAAATGAATTAATTGAATTAATTGAATTAATCGAAATAATTCAACTAATTCAATTAATTCAATTAATTCATTTATTTCCAAAGGGGAGGTGGAATTAATTGAATTAATTGAATTAATTCCAATTAATTCAATTAATTCAATTAATTCAATTAATTCAATTAATTCATTTATTTCCAAAGGGGGGGTTCAATTAATTCAATTAATTCAATTAATTCAACTAATTCAATTAATTCCACCCCCCCTTTGGAAATAAATTAATTAATTGAATTAATTGATTAAATTCATTAAATTCCAGGGGGAAAGTGGAAATTAAGGAATTTAATGAATTAAATTCTGTCTGTGCAACCCTACAGGACCTAAAATAGGGTCTATTTGGAACATGGCTCTTGTGAATAAGTATACGTTTTGGGGCCTGTTTTCCTCTTGTAAATACGATTCCCAGCTTCCAAATAGACCCTATTTAAGCTGCACACGGGGCGAGGCCCCCCCTCCATTTGGAAATAAATGAATAGGCGCGGCTCGATTTGGCCAAATTTTGCCGGGCAGCCTCCGGGCAAAATTTGGCCAAATCGAGCCACGCATTTCTCATCGCATACGAAGGGCAGCCCGATTTGGCCAAATTTTGCCCGGAAGCTGCCCGGCAAAATTTGGCCAAATCGAGCCGCGATAGTTTAAAAATTTCGGGCCTTCAGAAAGGCGCGGCTCGATTTGGCCAAATTTTGCCCGGAGGCTGCCCGGCAAAATTTGGCCAAATCGAGCCGCGCATTTCTCATCGCGTTCGAAATGAATTAATTGAATTAATTGAATTAATTCAATTATTTCAATTAATTCAATTAATTCATTTATTTCCAAATGGGGGGTGGGGGCTGGGGAATCCTCCTCCCCCCAATACTAAACCACGAGCCCGGGCCTCCCCCCAATACTAAATCACGAGCCCGGGCCTCCCCCCAATACTAAATTACGAGCCCGGGCCTTCCCGCGATACTAAATCACGAGCCCGGGCCTCCCCCCAATACTAAATCACGAGCCCGGGCTAAATCACGAGCCCGGCCTCCAAATTACGAGGCCGGGCCTCCCCCCAATACTAAATCACGAGCCCGGGCCTCCCCCCAATACTAAATCACGAGCCCGGGCCTCCCCGCAATACTAATTTACGAGCCCGGAATGGTGCCCCCCCCCCATTTGGAATTAATTGAATTAATTGAATTAATTGAATTAATTCAATTAATTCACCCCCCATTTGGAATTAATTGAATTAATTGAATTAATTCAATTAATTCCATTAATTCAATTAATTCCATTAATTCATTTAATTCAATTAATTCCAAAAGGGGGGGGGGGTGAATTAATTCAATTAATTCAATTATTTCCAAATGGTGCCCCCCCCCCCGCCCCCAGCCCCGAGCCCCCCACCCCCCCATTTGAATTAATTGAATTAATTGAATTAATTGAATTAATTGAATTAATTGAATTAACTGAATTAATTGAATTAATTCAATTAATTCACCCCTCATTTGGAATTAATTGAATTAATTCAATTAATTCAATTAATTCCATTAATTCAATTAATTCCATTAATTCATTTAATTCAATTAATTCCAAAAGGGGGTGGGTGAATTAATTGAATTTATTCAATTAATTCAATTAATTCAACCTCCCCAAGTGTAAATAAATGAATTAATTGAATTAATTGAATTAAATTCTGTCTTGGCAACCCTACAGAACCTAAAATAGGGTCTATTTGGAAGTTGTCTCTTGTAAATAAGTATACGTTTTGGGGCCTGATTTCCTCTTTAAAACACGAGTCTCAGCTTCCAAATAGACCCTATTTAAGCTGCACACCCCCCCCCCCCCCCCCCCCCAATGGTACCCCCCCCCCCCCCTGTGGTGTGGTTGGGGGTTGTTTTAGGGTTTTAGGGGGTTTAGGGTTTAGGGTTTAGGGTTTTAGGGTTTTAGGGTTTTAGGGTTTAGGGTTTAGGGTTTTTTAGGGTTTTAGGGTTTAGGGTTTAGGGTTTAGGGTTTAGGGTTTTCCCCGCGGATGGGGTACTAAGATGATCCCCCCCCCCTGTGGTGTGGTTGGGGGTTGGTTTTAGGGTTAGGGTTTAGGGTTCAGGGTTTTAGGGTTTAGGGTTTAAGGTTTAAGACTTAAGGTTTAGGGTTTAGGGTTAGGGTTTAGGTTTTAGGGTTTAGGGTTTAGGGTTTAGGGTTTAGGGGTTTAGGGTTTAGGGTTTAGGGTTTAGGGACCGTAGAGTAGACTTGGGGGGGGGGGGATACCATGGGGGGGGGGGCCCAGGACGCTCGACGCTGAACCATATATACTGTTATTTCGTTATTTCATGATTCTGGTACTTCACTACACATTGACATCTTGCCATATTCTTAGCAGCCTCAAGTCTTGGGAAGTCGCAGGACGTGCCCCCGAAGACCTCCACGTACCTGCCCGACGGCATGGTGTCACCTGGCTCTGAGTACTATGTTGGAATGAAGCATGGAGAGATTTGGATGAGGATGAGGGTGTGATGATGATGATGATGATGATGATGATGATGATGATGATGATGATGCTGATGCTGATGCTGATGCTGGTGCTGATGATGGTAACCCTAAACCCTAAACCCTAAGCCTAGTCATGACCCCCGGGGACAGGAATGGCAAGCCGGTCTACTTCTCCTACGCCACTTGTGGTGCGAGCGACTCCTTCACCGCCACCAGCAATGAGACCTGTGCCTTCCAGAAGTCTGTGAGCAACTGCGGCCCGGCCGCAGTGTTCTCATGCTCTCCGAAACCCTAAACCCTAAACCCTAAACCCTAAACCCTAAACCCTAAACCCTAAACCCTAAACCCTAAACTTTGTCTGAGCAGCATCCATTTCCGATCCATAGAAGCACCGATCCCTTGAAGCACCCTACCTCTCGCTCTCTCTGGCTGTCTCCTTCTATTCTCCTGCTGTAAGGCACCCTGCTCTTCGAGAAGTGCGCCTGGAACGGCACCGCGTGCTTGGGCAAGGAAATCCTGCAGACCTGCTCTCACAGTGGCGCAGGCCCGACGCGGACTGCTTGCGGCACCATGAGAAAATCGGATCACAGAATGGCCTTTGTAGGTACTCTGACGAGTTAATGCTCTCATGTTGCACGGTTTTTCTTACTGCAGCTAGAACTATCTTCTTGTTCAGTGCTGTTGCGCGGTGTAGAGACTGAGAACAGCCATGACAGTGAACTGCTTGGGATTTGGGACAAGTGGGCCCACGTTGGCAACATGGCAGTCTTTTCGATGTGAGCGTTCAGGTGCCATCAAGGCCACCTTCGCCGTGGCCTTGGCCTTCGCTGCCGCCGCAGCTGGGTTCTAGGCCAACCGGGCGTGTCACTGAGACGTGCGCCAGCGGAGGAAAAGCGCCGACGTTGGATGAGACATCGAAGATGTTAGCTCTCTCAGAACCCTTTCATGAGGACTAGGACTTCGGCGACGTGATTCACAGATGCCGCGATGATGGTTCCAGTGCTCAAGCCTTGCTCACGCTATGCCATGAAAACAAAGCTGATGAGAGCATCTGAGATTCAATGAAGAGAGCCCTCCAAACCCACCTCCACGCAACCCAAGCCGCGAGCATTCACGGACACCTCCAGCGCTCCCGACCGTAGCTCCCACGGTAAAATTGACACGACGTGCTCTCGAGAGAATGCATGTAGCCACACTTCCCTGCACGCGGCGTGCCCCGGCGAAGCCACAGGCCTCGCCCCAAAAGACCCGCAAGTCTAAAGGCCCTCAACCTTTGGGGACCAAGTGAACCCCATAATTGAGGTCATACACCCTCATACTGCAGCATAATCCCTATGAAGGGAGTATAGCATCCCTCAACCCATATTCGGCGTTCTCTGACAGGCGTTGCGGGCCCCAGTGGTTCGTGCCGTGTCCACGGTGCCGCCCGCCGCGGTGCCGGCATTGCTGGTGGCCGGGACGATCGGGGCACTCGCCAGGCCGGGCTCGGAGTCTGCAGGCTTAGGGTTCAGGGTTTAGGGTTCAGGGTTCAGGGTTCAGGGTTTAGGGTTTAGGGTTTAGGGTTTAGGGTTTAGGGTTTAGGGTTCAGGGTTCAGGGTTCAATTCAGGGGCTAGGGTTTACGATACGATTGTTCGAAAGACAGACAGACAGAGAGAGAGCGAGAGACACACACCCTTCACCCACGGACAGAGCGGCGGGCCGCTGCGGCCGGGGGCTTCCTCTTCGTTGGGTAGAAGAAGAGACACACACACACACTCCCTCTCTTTCTCTCTTTCTCTCTTTCTCTCTTTCTCTCTGTCTCTCTGTCTCTCTCTCCCTTTCTCTCTCTCTCTCTCTCTCTGTCTCTCTCTCCCTTTCTCCCTCTCCCTCCATTGCGCTCCGTGCATGAGATTCGGCTGCAGTTTGAGTGCAGCAAGACTTTGGAGAAAGTTGGACGAAGAAACTGGCAGCGACAATGAAAGTACATCCTGGCACCGACAAAACGCGCAGAGTGAGGGATGTCTTGTGCTGTCAGAGTGCGCTTTCCTCTGATGAAACCCGCAGTTTGCAACTTCGAGCTCCTTCTTCCCTCAGGCGTCTGAAGACGGAAGATGCACGAGGGAATGCACAGTCCTGATAGGTTTTAGGTGTTAGGGTTTAGGGTTTAGGGTTTAGGGTTTGAGACATGGCAATTTGCTGACGACTGCTGGAAGAACGGAGCTCCTCACATGTCTGCGTCTGGAGAATGGCATCCTAAACCCTCTGCGCACTTCGCACGGATGCGCGTTTTGCAATGCTCTTAGGTTCTCAAAGCTTTAGGAGTGTGCTGGCCTTGTTGCGTTGATGCCTTGCGATCCTTACCTTGGGTAGCAAGTCTTTGTGGTACTTTACTGTAACTTTAGATCCTTACCTTTTTTTGGTTTATTGGGTGTCTTATTAAGGCTGCTAAAAGTTTAATTTATAGCTACCCTCCTGAGTGCAGCCAAGAAGTGAACCCTAAAATTGGGGTCCTGTACCCTGACGACTATAATTCTTTTTAAGGCGTATGAGCCACAAACCCTTTTCGGGTTCATAATTCGTCCCCAAGCTACTATTTGCTTAAGAACCCCAAAAGAATAAACAACTGGTAACTAGTAATCCCAACATTACCCTTATAAGGAAGAGTATGTTTTATTTCGTGGGGTTTCTTATTAAGCAATTAGTAGCAACTGTGCGATCCCGAACTCTGCCTGGCAGAGGCGGCCTCGCGCTGTTTCCTCGCAGCTTCTTCGCAGCCGCTTCGTGGCCATGCACGCCGCGCCGGAGACCAGACTGCAGTGGAACTCCAGGATGGGTTTAGGGCCGTTTAGGGTTTAGGGTTTAGGGTTTGGGGTTTAGGGTTTTAGGGATTTTTAGGGTTTTAGAGTTTCAGGGTTTCAGGGTTTTAGGGTTTTAGGGTTTTAGGGTTTTAGGGTTTTGGGGTTTTGGGGTTTTGGGGTTTTGGGGTTTTGGGGTTTTGGGGTTTTGGGGTTTTGGGGTTTTGGGGTTTTGGGGTTTAGGCCATATACTCCCCATAATCAACCCTATAAAGGGCCTTGTTTCGGGGAGGTAAAGGGTATGACAGCCCATGCTGGTTGGAAGGGCCACCAGGTGGCATGAAAGAACATGCCAGGCCTGAAGGCTTCTTGTGGCAAAACGAAAACGAAACCCGAAACCCTAAACCCTAAACCCTAAACCCTAGACCCTAAAGCAGTGCACCTGGGGGGGGTTTCTACCAGGCAGATACGGAAAGCGGACCGGGACCAAGGCTGGAGCAAACAAAGCCGGTGAGCTTGGGGGAGGTTTCCTACTAGTTGCTTAAGAAGCCGAAAAAATATGTGTATATATATATATATATGTATACGTATATATATTCTTCCTTGTTAAGGCTAATACCGAGATAATTTTTATGTTGTTCTTTTGGGGTTCTTAAGCAAATAGTAGTTTCGGGCTGGGCTGGAGGGCCCCTCCCCCTCCATCCTTGTTTGCCCTGATGGGCAACAAAGGGCTTGCAGTGTCAGTTCAGGCTCTGTGAGACCCTCGGGGCCCCTGTTGTCGATGTTCGTGGGCTGTTGCCACGCCTTGGGGACGAAATGAATTTTGTGGCACCATACTCAGGCGACTTGGGAGCGTCCTAGATACCTCCTGAGGTTTCTTGTGGTTTTGGCCCAAAAACCTTGGGGACCACATGAGCCCTGAAACTGGGGCCATATACCATTATACTACTATCACTCCGATTAAGGTAATGTGAGCCATAAACCCTTTTACAGTTCATTTAGTCCCCAAAAAACAATAGCTGCATCCTTTGCAATCGGCAAGGACGTGGTGATCTACAGCCGCCCCGGCTGTGCCTATTGTGCCAAGGCGTTCGGTCGTACAGAGGGTGCAAGTTTGTTTCACGCAGCTCTATGGCATGGCGCGTTTAGGGTTTAGGGTTTGGGGTTTAGGGTTTAGGGTTTAGGGTTTCCATCAACAGTCGAGACCCACACCTGGAAACGATGTTCAACAACATGCTTCAGTCAAGACTGCTTAAGCCGCATCAGGAATGCGCATCTCTAATCTTCAGTACACTGCGGGACAGAGGCGCCACTGGTAACAGCAAATAATCCGTTGCTGAGAGTGCTCACATGGTGTTACTCCTTAATTAAGGAATATACCTTAAATTATAAAGGGATCCTCAATAGGATTCATGGAGTATTCCTCAATTAAGGGGTATTGGGCTCTTTGGGTTGGTGGGCAATCCTAAGCCCTAAACCCTAAACCCTAAACCTTAAACCTTAAACCCTAAACGGTGTTGGTGGGCAGGCCAAATCCTTGCTGAAGCAGCGCTACTTGGCAGCCTTGGACCACACGTGGCGCTAAGCCCATCTCGGCTCCGGTGCGACGGGGCTGAGTGCCCTAAACCCCTAACCCTAAACCCCAAACCCTAAACCCCAAACCCTAAAACCTAAACCCTAAACCGTTCAGGTGGTGTCACTTTCGGCATCGTGGACATCGCCGCCGAGGAGGCGCCGGCTCTCTCTCTCTCTCTCTCTCTCTCTCTCTATAAATATACATATATATATATAACCCAAGGGTTTAGGGTTTAGGGTTTAGAAGTTTAGGGTTTGTGCATCACCTGCCGAGGAGGCCCTGGTAATGGAACTAGGCATTGCATCGCAGCACATCGCGGAGCCAGAGTGATTGATTCAATTATACTTCATTATAAACCTGACGGTGTACCACAGGTATACTGCACACACAAATAATATGTGTTGAATATGTGTATATGTATAGAGAGAGAAATCAATGATATGTATATATATATATACACATAAAATATGTGTATATATATATATATGGATATACATATGTAGGTGTGTTTTTTGTGTATATTTGCACATCTATTACTGGCCTACTACCAGGTTTTGACGTGAAGGGGCAGAGGTCGTAAGCCCTCAACCCTACAAACCCTTTCAAAACGCTAAACCCCATCAACCCTAACCTAAGCCTCCAAACCGCAAACCCTAAACCCCATAAAGCCTCAACCCTCTTAACCCTATAAACCCTCTTAACCCTCTTGACCCAAAAACCCTATAAACCCCTCAAAGCCTGTTCACCCTAAACACCCCATAAACCCCCAAAGCCCTCTTAACCTAAAGCCCTAAACCCTCAACCCCAAACCCCAAACCCTAAACCCTAAACCCTAAACCCTAAACCCTAAACCCCCCAAAGACCCTCATGTCGCTGACCCAGGGGCGGCGCGCAGAGGCCCAGGAGCGCTCCAAGGCCGCCACGGCGCCTTGGGGCCGCAAAGCTGCCTCTTTGGAGCTTGGTTTGGGGTTTAGGGTTTAGGGTTTAGGGTTTAGGGTTTAGGGTTTAGGGTTTAGGGTTTAAGGTTTAGGGGTTTGGGGTTGGGGGTTTGGGTTTGGGGTTTGGGGTTTAGGTCTTGGGGTTTGGGGTTTGGGGTTTCGGGTTTGGGGTTTAGGTCTTGGGGTTTGGGGTTTGGGGTTTCGGGTTTGGGGTTTACGGTTTGGGGTTTGGGGTTTGGGGTTCAGGGGGACGAAATGGGACGAAAGTTTAGGGGTCCACATGTGCCTTAATTGAAGGGATTATAGAAGGTTTATGGCACATATAACATATATTTTAGTAGGAACTCTAGTGGTTTAGAGGGTATATGATCCCAATACTAGGGTTCATCTGGACATGACACGCAACCCTACACGCCCAAAGCCTACATTTTTGTAGGTTGCTTGCGAGTCCCTTAAGGGTTTTAGGGTTTAGGGTTTAGGGTCCTCTAAGGGTTTGTTAAATTAGCCGCAAAAACGAAGGTTTCGGGCTCGTGTGGCAAGGCCTATAAGCCCCACAAGCTTCAAGTGCATCGGAAGTTCCCGGGACCCCGCTCGAACGATCTCACGCCAGCTCTTTAGAAATGTTCGGGGCTACGTAACCCCTAAACCCCTAAACCCCAAGCGCTAAACCCTAAGCCCACGCCTTGAGCCCTCAGCCCTAAACCCTAAGCCCTAAACCCTACACCCTAAACCCTAAACCCTGAACCCTAAACCCTAAACCCTGAACCCTGAACCCTGAACCCTGAACCCAAACCCTTAAGGTGCCGCAAGTCTTCGTGGGAAGCCGGTGTCTTGGAGGCTCCGATGAAAAGAACTGCACAGGTGCAGACAAAACCCAGGGTTTAGGGTTTAGGGTTTAGGGTGGCTTCGGGTTTAGGGTTTAGGACAGATAGATAGACGGTGCACACACAACTCCGGTGCCAGAAACTCGAGCTCAAATGGGTGTTAAGGGGCTTGACGGTTTTGAGGGTTGTTTCTGAGGGTTTTAAGGGTGTTAGGGTTTAAAGGTTTTTAAGGGCTTTAGGCGGTTTAAGGGGTTTAAGGGGTCTTGGGGGTGTTAGGGGTGCACTTTTAGGGTTCATTGAAACTAGAGTGATTGTGAATACCTCGGGGACATATTCTGAATCCTGAAGGTGCGGGTGGGGGGGGTCACTAGGGTTCCTATGAAGGTCCTCTGAACCATAAAATGAACCATAAAAACCCTTTTTGGGGGTTCACATTTGGCCCCCAGGGAAGAGAGAGCAGCAGCTATCAGAGCGCAACCCTCTCCCCCCAAACCCTAAACCTTCAACCCTCAACCCTCAACCCTCACACCGTCCACCGACCCTTACGCAGGCTTTGATGATTTGCGCCGCCTGGATGAGGCGCCATGAGGGTTCAGGGTTTAGGGTTTAGGGTTTAGGGTTTAGGGTTTAGGAGAATGAGGCTTGTCAGTGCCCCTGAAGAACGAGCCTCGAAAACGCCAACCGTCGTGTTTTTTTTGTTTCTTCTGCTTTTGGTTGCGGTGCTAAAACCTACAGTAAGAAGTAGGTTTTGGGTTCACAAACTTACCTTGAGGACCAAATGAACCCTAGAATTGGGGTCATGTACCCAATACTCTAATGCCTATTAAGGTATATGAAGTTTAGGGACTATTTTTTTTACAGGTTAGAAGTAACTACCGGTAAACAGCAGGTAAAGAGGGTCACTAAGGAAGATGAACCATACACCCTTTTAGGGTTCACTATTGGTCCCCAAGGTATAGATTACCTAAACCCTGAACCCTGAACCCTGAACCCTGAACCCTGAACCCTAAACCCTAAACCCTAAACCCTAACCCTAAACCCCCGAATGCACAACGTCCCAGGCGGGCGACCTGCACGAGGCCCTCCGGAGGAGCAAGGAGGACCGCTAAGTACCTGCAGCAGGGCTTCTAGGGTTTAGGTTTTAGGGTTTAGGGGCTTGGGGTTTAGAGGCTTGGCGATTGGGGTTAGGGTTTAGGATTTCGGGTTTTGGCGTTTTAGTGGGGGACATCATACTGAAACCGCGTTTCGATGAGGTGTGTGTCAAGTCTCGCTTCTCGATTCCACTTTTTCGTCCAAAGGGTCAAGACGCTGTCGTTGAAGTCTCCGTGCATCATGGCAGTCGCCGAAGCCAGGACGACGTCTACATCGCGCCGACGCCACCCGAAAAGCTCGCCGCTGCTGCCTTGCCCGAGGTTGGCATCTTGAAGACAAGCAACCAGGGCAGGGGGGGGGGGGGGGGAAGTCCGCCTTGATTCTTGTGTAGTTTGAGGAAAGTACAAGCTCGCTCGCATCCAGACTCCCCGCATGCATAAGACTGTGACTCTTGGGTGATGTTCCTTGGGGACTAAATGAACCCCTGAAAGGGTCTATGTTTCATACCCTAATAGCGAATTATAGTAGTCAGGATATATGACCCCAATTTTAGGGTTCATTTGGTCCTCGAGAGTTGTTGCCGTTTTCAGCCCCTTGCAGGGGGTGCGATCACAGCTGACGGAGCGAGCCAAGGCACCCGGGGGTTTTGACCAGAGCCATTCGGATTTGAGAGGGTTCATAGGGTTCATAGGGTTTATAGGGTTTAGAGGGGTTTTTTTAGGGGTTATAGGGTTTATAGGGGTTTATAGGGTTTACAGGGTTTATAGGGTTTACAGGGTTTATAGGGTTTATAGGGTTTATAGGGTTTATAGGGTTTATAGGGTTTATAGGGTTTATAGGGTTTATAGGGTTTATAGGGTTTATAGGGTTTACAGGGTTTACAGGGTTGTGGGTTTAGGGTTGAGCTTGAGAGCTTCCCCTCAGCCGCTACAAATTCCGGCTTTCAGTGCAGCTGTAAAAGCTGCCATGCAACATGCAGAACGATGCAGATAGCGCCGACAGGCGATGGCCAAGCTCAAGTACCAGGCGCCGGCCCTTGGCTGCGAAAGCGTACGCGCGACAGACTTGCAACTTCGGGTTTAGGGTTTAGGGTTTAGGGTTAGGGTTTAGGGTTTAAGGTTTAGGGTTTAGGGTTTAGGGTTTAGGGTTTAGGGTTTAGGGTTTAGGATTTAGGGTTTAGGGTTTAGGGTTTAGGGTTTAGGGTTTAGGGTTTAGGGTTTAGGGTAAAGAGTACTTTGCGTGCTTCTCTGAAATCTCTCCGGATCCCGGAACCCCACGAGAACCTTAAGAATTGGGGACGACATGAACCCTAAAAGGTTTTATGGTTCATATACCTTTATAGGTATTATCGTGGTCCGGGTATATGACCCCCCAATTTTTTGGGTTCATAATTGGTCCCCATGAGAACCGTAGTTCCAGAGGCTGGCTCTCGGCCTTCCTTGGGCGCCTTCCTGCGCTACGCCGTCACCTCCACGCCGAAGCAGGACCTTGGGGACGAAATGAATCCCAAAATTGGGATCATATATCCTGACTAATGTTGCACCCGCTTTAGTATCGGCCCCCTCTTTAAAGACAAACTGGCCGAATTATTCAGGACACCCTGACTGTTTGGGAGTCCCTCTTTAAAGACAAACCGCCCCCGAAATCCGGAATTTTTTTTGTTAGGATTTGGGGCTTGTTTTAAATTAAGTTGATTGAAACAACTAATTAATCCTCAATACCAAACCTCCAAATCCAAAACCCTTAGCTCTGCAAAGCTCAGTTTTCTTCTCAACCTGGGTGTCTCAAGCTTTTGAAAAAGAGGGCCCATGCTGCCTCAGGCTGCAAGTTGATGACTGAGTTAATCCATCATCCCTAAACCCGCACTGTTGGACTGCCGGATGTCCTGAATAATTAACTGAGGCAGCAGTGGTGGCCGGCCCCAGAGGGGGCATGTTCCTGAGCCTGGATTTGCTCAGGTTTCTTTGGCGCGGGAAGCCTCACTACCCTTCTCAGCCTGAATTGGCTGAAGCTTGTTGGCCTTGAGCATCTCTTTGAGATACTGAGCGAATTCCTGGGTGGGATTTGCTCAGGTTTCTTTGGCACCGGAAGCCTCACTACCCTTCTCAGCCTGAATTGGCTCAGGCTTGTTGGCCTTGAGCATCTCTTTGAGATACTGAGCGAATTCCTTGGGTCCTGCAGCAGAGGAATGGTCTCAAGAAAGGGCTGACAAGTGCAAAAGGCTGATGGTAGAGTTGCAGTCCTGGCTGAAAGGGCAGCTTCCCCTGAGCAGCGGCCTCAGTGGTGAGGTGGTACTTCAGGGCTTTCTCAGCCTGGCACTGAGGACAGCCTGTCTGCCATCGGCAATTCTGGCAGATCCCTGGCGAGTGCTCTAAGGCCAGAATCTTGGCCGTGGCTTCTTTGCTGAGATGCTTCCAGGTGAACCTGAAGAGGTTCTTGTCGAGGGATTCCTTAGCAGCCACAGCAGCCTTGGTTGTCGAAGCCTTGGCTGTGTCTAAGGCGTGCTGAGCTTTGGCTACCCTCTTCTCTGCTTCCTTTCTCTCGGCCTCAGTCTTGTTGTAGGCCTTCTCGATCTCAGCGATCCTCAGCTTCTGCTCCTTCTCAAGATGTGGCTTCATCTTGAGAAGCCTCTCCTTCCAAGTCTTAGCCAGGAGCCCAGGCCAAACCCTCAACCATTCTCCTCGGGCCTGCCTCACTTCCTGCTCCATCCAGGCTAAGACATAGAACCCGCAGAACAGTGACCCCTGAGGCTGCACTGCTGAGTTGGTCTTCTTGGGCAGGCTGAACTGAGGATCGAGCAAGCTCCCAATCCTGACCTGAGCCAAGGTGCAGGCCTCAATGGGCTCCTGAAGGCTGTCGTAGAGTCGCCACTGAAAGCCCTCGGACTCTCTCTGAGCCACCAGCAAAGTCCAGTGCAAAGCCCTAACCAGTGGAACCAGAAGCCTGAGACCATTGCTGAAGGCTTTCTTAACAGCATCTTCACGTGGCTCAAGCAAGTGCTCAGGAAACTCGAAGAGCAAGTGAGGAAGGCCAGGGTCTAAGCACTCCACTGAGAACTCCTCAAAGGATCCTGCCTTGGCTTTTCGCAGGGACCAGCTCATCATGGCCCAGCCCTGCCAGATCCACTGATCCTCGACCAAGAAAGGCTTCTCAGTTTCAGGAAAGGGCACTAAGCCATGGTCGGCATAGTCGTCGTAGCTCAGCTTTGGCTCAGGCCAGCAGGAGATGGCCCTGAGGATCGCCTGAGTATCTGCCCTGCTGAGGTATTTCAGCTGAGCCCAGACGAACTCAGGAGTCTTGGGCTCCCAAAGCGTGAGATGCTCAGACCTGATCTCGAAGGTGCCACTCACGGTCATCACAGTGTAGCGACCTGACTGGAAGTCTGAGGCCAAGCCCTTAATGCCAAAGAGCATGTGGCCAGCAGCCTCGGAGACACAAATGACTTCTTTCTCAAGGAAAGGAGCCAGCAGGGCTGAGGGCTCAGTCTCAGTCTTTGTGGGCTCAGCTTTGGCCTTAGCCTTCTTCTCCTTCTTCTTCTTGGCTGTGACCTTAGCAATGACCTTGTCTACAGTGGCCTTGTGCTCGTGCTTCTTAGCTGCTTTCTTCTTAGCCGAAGCCTTCAGGAACTTGCTGGCCTTGCTCTTTGCTGAGGGCTTGTTCTTTGCTGAGGGCTTCGTGGTTGCACTCAGTTTCTGGCCTTTGGTCTCAGTCCTCACAGGGACCACCTGACTGAGTGCTTCTGCCCGACTGCTCAGCATCAGCTTTTGTCTCAAGCTTTGCAGAAGCTTGCCCCTGAAGGCCGTCCTGTGCTTCAGCCTCTCCCTTCTGAGCTCTGCTTTTTTCCTGATGTCCTTCACTCTCTCAGTGTAGCCCTCCTCAAGAGCTCTGCGAGCTGCTGCACGTCTGAGCTTTGGGTGCAGCCTCAGGGAAAGGCTGTTCTGCAGACTCAGGTCCAGGTCCTCTGCAAGGTCGGCGTCTAAGTCAAAGCCTCCATCCTCAGGCTCATGTTCAAGGTCTTCCTCAGGGTTGAAGTAGTCCCACCTGATAAGGTCGGAGATCTGCTTAGCTGAGTCGCTCAGAGACCAGTCAGCCTGGATGGGTTTGCCTGCGTCGTCCAGCCACTTAAGCCTCTCTGAGAGCCAGCTGGCTGGGAAGCGACGACTGCCCATCCTGAGGTCGAGCTCCTTAGCCCAGGGCTGCTCGGAGACCGTCTCAAGCCTCCCAGTCTCAGGGTTGGGCCGATAGGCCAGAAGGCCATTCCTGACGGCTGCCCTCACGACCCAGGATTGCTCTTCGTTCTTCTGCCTCAGCTGCTCCTCAGCCCAGACCACTGAGGTGACGATCTCAAGGGCACCCACTCGCCACACCTCAGACTTCCCTGAGAACTTTTGCTGCTCCTGAAACTCTGTTCTCAGGGAGGACAGCTTGTGCCTCACGGCAGCCTTGAACTCTCTGGCGAAGTCTGAGTCCGTGATCTGGAGCTTAGACGTGCACTTCGCAGCAACTAAGCAGCTGATCTGCTGGGCTAAGGCCATCGACTCAGCAGCCGTGTCTGAGAACACGGAGCTGAAGCAGTCTCTCTGCCAGACTGAGCAAGGGTACTCAGTGGCCTGGCCCTCAATGACCCAGCTCAGGATCACGGAGTCGACGTTCGCAGCTGGCTGGCTCATGATGTCCAGCTTAGCGACCAGCTCAGGGTGAGCCTGCCTGAGCTTTCGATAGCTGAGCAAGATCTTGCCGACTGAGGCACCAGCTGAGTGAACCTTCTCCTTAGCACCGACCCTGAACCTCTCAGTCCGGATCCACTTGCCGTCCTGAGAGATGTTGCTGAGGCGAGCCCACTGGCCGGGCACCACCAGCAACCCCTTGCCCACTAAGCCGACGACTGGCTTGCTGGGCTCATCCAGAACCTGAAGAAGCACCTGACGGGCCTCGTAGGTGATTCTGAATCTTTCGTCGGCTGAGAAGCCTAAGGTGGTCTTAGCTCCGGCCTTAGGCAATGCCTTCTTCTGTTTCTTCTTAGGCTGCTGATGCTCAGGGCCTTTCTGACTGTGCCTGAACCTCTGCTGCTGCTCCTCCTCTGCTTTCTCCTCGGTCTGCAGAGGTTTCTCTGGGCTAAGGCTGCTGAAGCTCAGGCCCTTCTGACTGTGCCTGACCCTTCTGAGCCGAAGCTGAGGGCTTTCTTTACTCCGGGAGTGCTGTCACCTGTGTCGCTGATGGGAACCACTGAAAGGTTGCATCTGAGTCAGTCCTCATGGCATCCTCAATGGCTTCCCTGACCTCAGAAAAGTCCTTGGTGGTCTCAGCTGAGTGGAGCTCCTCAGCAGAGAAGACTGCCTTTCGGCCTGTGGCCTTAGCCCACAGTGGCACCTGATCGGAGAAGCCGATGGCTAAGTGAGCCCTGTTCTTCACGAAGTCCTCAGGGTCTGACACCCTCTTCTCAGCAGACAGCTCAGGAAGAGAGCTCAGGCTGGCCAGCCAGAGGCACCAGTCGAACTCTTGCCAGGTGAGCTTGCACCTGACCTGAGACTCAAGGCTGCTGATGTTGCTCACGACCTCTGAGGTGGTGAACTTGGCCTTGGTCCATCTCAGGAGCTTCTCAGTGAAACTCCTGCGGTAGGCCTTGCTTTTGCTCAGCTTCTCAGCCCTGGCCTCTTTGTCCTCAGCATCCTGCTGCAACTCAGCCACCTTCAGGTTGCTGAGGCCACGTTCTTCTGCCCCAAGACGAGACTTAGTGGCCGAGAGCCTCAGCTGAAACAAGAACTCCTGAAAGAAGTCCTGCTGGCTGATCGTGTGGCCACAGGCTCGCTCAACAGCCAGCCACTGAGAAAGCGTGGCAAGGACCTCAGGGTAAGGCACCTTCCGGCCAGCCCCCGAAACTCTAACTCGCTTCTTGTTCTTAGAGTTTCTTCTCCGAAGAGGTGCCTTGCTCATTTCTGCATAGGCCTGACTTTGGCTGACGATCCTGCTGAGCTGTTTCTTAGACAGGCCATGCTTTTCGGTCATGGCCTGCCAGAACTTGCTCTCAGTGGAAAACTGAGACTTGGACTGAGCCAAGTCCTCAGCAATCAGCCTCTTTCGATTGGCTGTCAGCTCAAGGCGAGCTTTCTGAAACTTCCTCTTCCCGGCCTCAGGGGCGACTCTTGTGAACCTCTTGCCCTGAGTGAGTCGTCTCCTCTTGGCAATCTCATGAGCCCTATCTTCGTCCTCCTCTGCCTCCTTCTCAGCCACAAGAGCTTCAAAGGCCTCCTTAGATGCTTCGAACTCGAGCTGAGCCCTGCTCTTGTGGCTCCTGTGGTAACCTGTCAAGTGCAGCTCGAAAGGCTGAGCAGATGCCTTCTGCTCAGGTGTTCCGAAGAACTTTGTGAGGCCATACTGCAGAACTTTTCGTGCTGTGGACTGAGGAGTGATCGCGATCTGCTGAGAAGCTGGGCTCGCGGTCTGCTGAGAAGCCGGGCTGCCCTGCTGTGGCTTCTCAGGTGTC